AAGTCTCACCTAGTGTGTTAAAAGCTTTGCTTTGTTCTAAAAGAAGTAAAATATAGCGAGGGGTGAGGGGGAGGTACCTCCCCCAGGGTGCTGATGGGAGCCATAAAACCTGACACAAAATGTCTGAGGGATTTATTTCAAATCACAGAACGTTATTAAATAGCACAGGTTTTCTACCCGAATTTAGGCTGAGTTAGAATGCACATTTCCTGTGATCAAATATTAGGTGAAAAAACACTAAACTTTGTTTCTTCAGAGTTTTTAGATTTTTTTAAATTATAAACCACTTTTCTTACAAAGCTTTAGTATTATGACCAGAACCAGACCTTTCTTCCTGTAGGCCGGCACAGTGGCAGGTCAAAACAGTGCAGCTCCATCGAGAACCTTTCATCCCCAAAACATCACGCTCAACGATACAAATCTACACACAAATGCATGTAAACATGCATGCACCCTCACATGCATACTTAGGAATGAAGGTATTTGATGCTGTTAGCAACAAGCACAATTATCAGCACACTGTCAGATAATTGTGCCCGAGACGCGTCGATTTTGGTGGCGTTGAAAAAAAAAGACTCTTTGTTTTAGAGACAGCATGTGGGCAGAACATGTTGATGGATGGTGCATTATGGGCATCAGTCTGCACTAGCTGATCAGCCATCATGTCAGTTACTGGCAGACAATTTATCTGAGCTTCTGCTGCAGACGATGATTGTTTTTCGAGGGGTCACATTGTGTGCATTTTGCTTCCCTTTGTCAAAGAGGCTTTTCAGTGGCCCTGGTTTCAAAACGATGCAGTTGATCCATGCTCGCATCAGGACAGCAGCGGTGCTCAGTAATCATTGTTGTGCATCTGCACGGAATCTGAAAGGCAGAAAGCAGAGAAAATCATCTGCAGAGATATTGACACAGCAAGGCGAGTCCTTAATGAGGCGACTCAATAAGGCAGTGTATGTGCACCCGAATGTGTTCCAAGCAGGCTTAATCTTGCACATATCTGTGTATTATCTTAAAAAATGTTTTCTAGCAGATCTGCTAAACAGCTTATCTTTTATGTTGCCTACAATGTTCGGTGTTGCTTTTGAATAGGAAACACTTGTTATGGAAACAAAAGTCGATTCATTTTGTTTGAAGATACGATCTGTTCTTTTTGAATGTCGGAGATACCGCACATCATAGACGTTGGATTTATCATCTTTGACAGTAAACATTTGAAACAAAGTGCGATGTGAGGAAATATGTTTGAAATATGGAGGCCAAAACATTGACGGAGAAAAAGTTGACAGATGTCTCTTGTTTAACACAGTTTTGGACCATCTGTACACTCTCACGTTCTTTGACACCGAGCCCAGGAAGAGTAAATGACTGTGAGCACTGGGGGGTTTTGTTATGCAAGTCAAAGACAAACATGGTGACAAAGGCTGAGCCGTTAACCAAGGAAATAAATGTTGTTTCTTATGTCTGTTCAATTGTTCAATTAGGCCGTGTTGCATCGGAAGGTCAAGTTCCTGGCTTCACTCGTGTTACAAACACACACCATTGACACACTGCAAAGCTTTTGCGGCAGCACTCACAGCACACACTTATACACTTATTGATTGTGTTTAGACTTTTTAGAAAGATGATAGATAGTTCATGTAATGAACGTTGAGACTGTCAATGAAATGATCTACCTCAGTGGTGACTTGTGAGGTGCAATGTAGTCTGACAATCCTCAGACTTAAGTATCGACAACTGACTCAGTCAAGTTATAATTATACCTTCTGCTGAGGACTGTGTGGGCATGAATAGACTAATTTATAACATCTCCCGTTGGCTTTGTTGCAATTTAAGGGCATTTGTGAGCTCCATATTCGACCCGAGCAGACGTCTGAAAGGACAGTTTAACTGAAATAAAAACCTGCATGGATTTAGAGAGGAATTATGTATTTATGTCATTGTCACGTACCCCAGTAAAGCTGCTCTAAACAATACGTTACAGTAAAAACAAGAAAGGAATGACTTATAGTGACAAACCCATAGATCATTCTTTCATCTTGTTTAGCTGTAGTTAAATGAGTTCTCAAAATCTTTAACGATGTTCATTCAAACAGTGAGAATGAGCTGCTGATTTTCTATCAATATCAAATTGACTTCTGTGTCTTCATGTTTCATGCAATTGGTAGTTTGGGACAGATGCAACGAATTTAATCACATCAGACACACTCGCTCACAGTTAAAAATAGAGGTAGAAAAGAAGCTGTCTGGGATTATTTTGGTCATATGACTCAAGCCAAGGTTCAAACATTTTGTACAGTTTCACGGTGTTATGATAGGCTTAAAAAATGGACAACCCCCCCACAATTCTAGTCTGACGCCCTGTACATTGTTTTTAAAGCAGCACCCACAAAGACTCTTCCTAACGTTTGCTCTTTGAAGCTCAAGAACCAAAAGGACCCGGAGGACTTAGTGGAGGAAGACCTATAACGGGAGTCTGTTTGATGACAGTGACTGAATGTTGAGTGTGAGCAGCCGCGGCAGCTCATACTTCTTAGTCTCCATCATCTCCCTCACACAGATGATTAGGTGTGCACAGACATGAATTGATGTCAAGCAGGAGTGATAGACTCACAAATTGACCCAAATGAAAGAATTGATCGGCCTCACTGTCGTGTGTGGACAAAGAGGGCCCCGCGGTCTCTGACACGGATCTATCAAGATTCTACTCATGTTTTTTTTTTAATCACTGATAAATTGTTCTGACACCTGCTTCACATCAGGTCTCGATTGGCTGTATGTCAAGGTACAATAATGCACATGGAATTTGAACCATCTTGATTGTGTTCCTTGGTACCAAACAATGTAGGAAATGTAGGGCTCAAGGAAGTTACGGTTATTATATTTTCAATTTTCAAACACTGGAAGCCAATATATAGTCTATACTCACGTCACAGTTTGGTTTCACATCTTTTCTGCCTCTGCACTGCTGCATGTAAGCATTCATCTAAACGTTCTCTTTTCTAACTTTGACATCATTTCACAAACATGAGCTGCATTAGACAGACAGGTTTTGGAAAATATATAAAACTTTCCTCACTTAAACCTGAAACATTACAAAATGATATTGGTGCATATAATATGAGAATATATCTTCTGATATAATGTGTGTTATTACTCATACATCAGATGAATCAAACAACCTCCAGGCTCCAAGTTGTGGAGGAACACAATGTGTGACTGTGACATCTGCAGCCTTACTGGTGCCAGACAGGTCGCCTCTTTGATCCACCTTCCTCATGCAGATCCTGAAAGATGAGACGTGCTGCCGTGTTCCAAACTTTAAAATTAAAAAACTTAAAAAACTTAACTTAAAAAACACAGACACACATTTAATATGAGCAGGATTTTAGGTTCATACTACAAACACTGCTGTGATTAGCAACTTATTGAGAGCAGTTGATATTTACTCATGTTTACATCAACAATTTAGAGTAGGTTAATATCAATCGGTTTAGCTATAAATTGAAAGCTCTTCATAGCTGTTGAGCTATTTTAAATATAATTAGTTGTTATTTAAGTAGGCTTAAACAATATTACAAATGCCTTAGGCTGACACATTTCCTGGAGTTACTTAAAAATTGTTCCTATATCCTTTAGCGTATACTACTGTCTTGAGGCTGAAACATGTCGATATAAACAATACACTTGAGAAAAGGAAAAACTTACTGGTAATACTGGTTATTGTCACTTTATACTTTTGGCAAGAAAAGAAAGCAAGCATAGAACATTTCACTATCCATTCCCTCTCAAAAATAGTTAAAGAAAGCAAAGATCCTATAAATATTAAAACAAAGTTTAGCTGACATATAAGCGGTATTAAAGCTGTGACCCTGTGCTCGATTCTCAAACTAAAGCTTCAGATTGACTCTCTGATCATTGATTTTTCTTAGCTGTGCCAACTTATCTGAATATCACCTATTCTACCATCACCAAGGGGGAGGAGTCCAGCTCGAGCATCAGAATGTAAAGGCTCATTCGGATACTATAAGAGCTCTGTCATCAGTCTTCCTCTCCCGCTCCTATTTCCTTTCCCTGGTGTCTCTCTCCTCATAACCTCTGCCTTTAATTTACCGCTACTTATTTCGTCACCTCCCCCCACCTCCTCCCGACCTCTCTCATTCTCTACCTCGGTGTGTCTGCAGTCTTGCGCCATGCTGCAGGGCCCCTCTGACTGAAGTAATTTATGCTATCTACTTTGCTATTGTGAGAGGAGAGCGTCATGAAGCCAGCACTCTTCATGCAGAGTGCTCCTGCGGGAGTCTGTGTGCCAGCACTGACTGAGCCATCCTCTTTCTCTCTTTTAACATCGCTCCATGCATAGTGCAATTACCATGTGTGTGAAGAAGGTACTCAATCTGAATGGGAGTACAGGAAACTTGCAGATATGCACATAGCAGCTGTCAGCTGCAAAGACATGTTGCATGTGTTCTCACGATGCATGTATCTGTTCTGTGGACTTTCTTAGTACAGGAAGACCGTTTAGAAGGAATACTTTGACCACAAAATGATCAAATGTTCATAAATCACTTACCCCATTTTCATTTAAACCTCGTCATTCAAAACACTTCTTAATAAAAGAAATCATGCTAGTGCAGGACTGATATTGTCCTTCCGGGGTCAAATTGTTTTAAATAGTGTGGTCCAAGCAAAGATTCACGTGTATCTGAAATGCAAGCCTGTCTTATGTTGTGTGAGAATTTTCGGATGAACATTTTGATATGGTTATGCTGTAACACGTTGAGAATCAATGAACAAATGATCCTTTCTTTGGGTGAAGTATTCCTTTGAGTGAAGGTTTTATACCCTGTGTATAAATAGTAGAAGGTTTTGCCAGTGTTTCATGAGTCCGATCAGGAATCCATGGATAGACTGCACTCATAGCAGCAGCGAATGCTCAACGGGGTATTTTTGGAGCAGGAAAATAGTTGATGATGACTGAACATGTTTGTGTGTGGTTGCAGGACTGCAATCATTCTCCATGACAACAGAGACGGCTTTGGCCGGGGAACTGAAGAGCCCGATGGAAGGTGACGCCATAAGAACCTATCAGGTGGGAGTGCTGTTAAACTCACAGCAGCTGTAGATCATTTTACTGAGGACTTCCCATCACTCAGAGGCCCTCCGGCATGGTTGATATGCAAGGCAGCGAGCCCCACCGGCCTGTGCCAGCAACTTAGCATTTCAGCATCTCCCTCTACATCATGCATTTGATGATTGCCTCACATGATCAAACATTTGGGATTGAAATAGCTTTAGAAGACAAGTATGTAATGCCTGTTGAGACTTAATTAAGACATTAAAAAAAGCTACGGTGTTTTGAAGTTCACACACTTATAAGAAGGATTCTGTCTCTCCAAGGTTCCAGAAGACCAGGGGGACATGGATGATAGCTCAGAGAAGACCCCCAGCAAAGCCTCCAAATCCCCTCAGAAAAGCTCCAAACGGCCAAAGACGGTCCCGGTAAAAGTCACCCTGCTTGACGGATCAGACTACGAGGCTGGAGTTGAGGTACGCTTCTCGTTTTGCATTATCAAACAATAGAGCAGATGGGTGATGAAACCACGTGAAAGAAATGCTTTGATTACGAGTTTCAAGACAACATTGGCCTTCCATTCATTTATATGATTTCTATCAGTAAAAGTAACATTAAGTCTTTTGGTGAGTTATAGGACAAGCTGGGCATCACTCAGACAATCATGGAGGTTTTGACCAAAACAACAGGTGATAGAATAGAAATGACTGACTTCCTTGTCCAACTTTGACTTGCAGTACTCGCTGCGCGTTTGGGCCTAACAACACCCCCGAACTGTTACATTATTGGACGATAGAGCATTAAAACGCTGGCTGCTTCTCCAAACTACAAAAGGCACACCGGCTTACCGACCGACTTGACTCAGCATACCACAATACAGCTCAGTGGGATTTCGCCTCCTTCTGTAACACCCGCTACTGGAAATGCAGCACGCAGCACGAAAGACGAGCACTGCATTGTGGGGGATGGAAGTTCTCGGATGAGAAATCCCCGGCTTCCATTAGTCATGTAGCCTTTTGTGTTTGCAAACACAAATGAGTGTAGCTTTTGGTTTATTTGAATTTCACAGCAGCCCCAATGCTCATGATGGCCGCATAGAATGAATCTGTGTTGAAGTGACTGACAGAGCGAAGGGGTGGGGAAGATGGTGTTTCACAGGGAAAAGGATCTCTTGGCCGGGACTTACAGAGCAGCGGGGAATCACATGGAAGCCGCCAGTGAAACCCCATTGGCTGTTGCTGATGATGGAGCGTTGGTGTGTGACAGGAATGGTCTGTTGGCTCAACCTCATCCATGTCACTATCCCTGTCACGGCTCACTGCCTCTCACGTGACCTCACATATTTTACTTCTGAGCGGAGAAATACATGTGATGAGCGGCGGGCCGAGGCCTCATGCGCGCATTCCTCCTTCAACTCAACCCCTGCGATCTCTTCCTCCGTCCTGATTACGTGCGCGCGCACACACTTCGTCCGTGTCACCCGGGCAACGACACTAAAGATATTGGGCTTCAACAGGAAATCCATACCGTGGACAGATGAGCGCTCTTATGTTCGACCGGGATGAAAATAGAATGGAGGAAGGAAAGATGAGGAGGAAAAGATGAAGAAGGTGGGGAAGGAGAAGTAGGAAGATGGAGTGCTTGCTTGTGTGATGTAGTACGTGTGGGACTGTGCACGTCACCGCGTGCGATGGGGAAAAGGAAAGCGGGGACAAATTGATGAATGCGGTGAAATCTTTGCTTTAACGGCAGTCACGATGTCCCCTTAGCGAGCGCGTGCGCTGATGATGAAAACACGGAGAAGCTGCAGCCTAGTATTGATATTAGCCTCACAACAAACACATTGATCGAGCCTTTGTTCAGTCCTTAACCTAATGCCATACATTAAAGAAAGATCTTGAGCGCCACGCTTACGAACTCCAGCTATTACTTTCCCCCCAAAAACATCTTAAAATGAAACATCTGGCATTTTAATAAAATGCGGGCCATTCTACCAATATTTTAACTAGTTAATCTTTGTCTGAACGGAATTTTCTCCAAAGCACCATGAAATGCTAATGCTCATTTGCTTCTATTGCGGGTAAACCACATAACCGTGTTTCCTTTCTATTGGGGAGGGATGGCTGTTTGGGGTCTGAGGAGCATCCTGTGCCAAAAATATGTAAGAGCCCAGCTGCTGATGTTAATCAGCTCAAGAAGGGCCTTTTTCAGAGAGATGGAAGTAATAACTTGTACCAGCGTTCGTATAGATTTATTTTAAATGTTTTTTTTCTATTTGTCTAAATTGTAATACAAACTTGTAATAACGGTGACCCAAGCAGAAAAAATGTCCGTTGAAAATTTGCCTTACAAAGCAGCAGTAGCTTCAATCACTCAGTAAAAGTGGGACCACAGATGCGAGCAAAGAATAAATGTATTAAACATACATGTAAGAGTGTGCAACACCTCTACATTTAAACTGTATCCTGGGAGAAAACCACCTATTAATGTGAAGTTCTTGTAGTTTATGATCAAAACCACGTAAAAGACGTGGGACTGAGCTCGGCCTCCGTAGAGAATGTTGAGAACATCAAAACTTCTTCTCTCATTTAGGAGCACACATCGAACATGTTTCCCTGCAGCATAAAGCTGTTCACTGCAGCCTGCAGACCCGAGGCTGTGAGGCTGCAAGTGGGTGAGCTCTCTAGCTCAAGAGAGATTTTACCTACACTTGCAAACCTCAGAGCGCAACCTGACTGCTGTGAGCAAACAGACTGCTCTGAGCAAACAGACTTTCAAAAAGGAAAATCCAATATATTTCTGAGACTTTCTTTTGAAAGCGAGCCAAACGTTGGTGAACGAGTCATAAAAGCTTTTGATAAAATTACCAGAAGACCTTTGTCTCCAGATTAAATTCTGTGTTAAATGTTAATTTGTGTTTTTTACCACATTCGCCTTGGATGTAATACTTAATGTGGCCAGGGTGAAGTATCCCACAATGTTTACTCATCAGAAGGAGAGATGCCCTGGGAATAACAGTTTTCAGATGTATTTTGTGTCTTTGGAGGAAGCATTCTGATTTCTGAAACAAAATAACGGCAGTGATGTAATCAGGGTGGTCAGGCTTCAAATTTATGATAAAAAACATGTAATAAAAAGCTTTGTTTGGGATTTAAAATACATAGCCGTTAATCAGTATGACCAATGAAAGATGATATTCAATATAGGGACCAGCCTTTTGGGAAATTTCGTATAACTTGACTCCTGATGCTTTGTCTTCATCAGACAAGTTTCATTTTGTGGGAGTACCGTTCTAAATCTCCATTGTTCTGTGTTGCGATTGTTTATCATTTGTTTCACTTTCAATAACCTTATAATAACACAAATTACTGTAACTGAGAAGGCCGTTGAATAATGAAGACCCCACCGGCTCAGCCTAACAAAACCAAAAAAGTCTTTAGTTATTGGATGGCCAAGTTTATCAAAGTCTATCGCTCTGCCTGCATTATTTAAAGCGACTTTGTTCAACTGATTTGCCTTCCCCGCCGCCGGCCACTGACCGACTCACGCGTACACGCTGTCTCTTGTAACCCTCTGGTAATAAATAAAATGGTAAATAATAAAATGTGAAATCTCTTGCTAGCTGTCACAACATAAATATCCGGGTCGGATAGGTCACTTCCTGTCATGGACCGCAATCCCACTCGGCAGTGACAGCTACGGCAACAGAATCGGCCACATTTCTTTATTAATAAATACACCACGGTAACAGCTGGACTGACTGACTGTTGTTGTTTTCCACACACATTTGGCTCCGTAGGTGAATTTGAAATCTTTGGGTCAAGTGAGAATTTAAGTAAGGAACTTAGGTTGGGAAAACCTCAAGCGAGGGTTACACTCTCCTCATCTCGTTTGCATGGGCGAGGCAATCAGCCAAATGGATTTCTAGGATTACACCAAATGGCTCCTAACACAATCACCCTACAGAACCAGCTAAATGAATGTGATTGGAGCCAATTGGACTGACAACGAAATATCATCACCAGCTCCATGTGGGAACTGGTTGCTACGCTTCGGGGGACCACCTGAGGTGTGCGTTACAATTCATTTTTGCAAGAAAATCAAATGTGCCGTTCCCCCGCCTAACAACGCCTGAATCAGCCCTCGCCTATTAAACGGCATAATTCTCTCTCTGCTTCCCCCGTGGCAACCCCAGTGCAGCAGGATACACTTTGTTATTCATTTCATTGAAAGACCGTTCACTTCCTCTGGTAAATTAACAAGCCTATCTTAAATATTTAGAAGGTTGCTTGATGGTACTGCTGGCTTCTCCTCCAAGAGCTGAACAAAGCCATGCGGTGGCCTTGTAGTAAGTGAGAGGGCGCGCACACACACACACACACACACACACACACACACACACACACAGAAGGGCCCTATTACTTCTGTTTCCATGGTAACAGCTGCTTGGTTGCTTTGTCGCCATAGGAGCCAGGTTTCCCCAGGAGATGAATCTGTCATGTGTGCTCCTCTGTGTGTGTGTGTGTGTGTGTGTGTGTGTGTGTGTGTGGCGAGAGCATTTGGCCAAGGTCCATTGGTGCATCTCACGGAGACGTTGCTCTCAGCCCCAAATGGCTGGATGGAAAATAGGTGTGGTCTGCTGAAGCATCACTGATGCAAGATGCATTTCCTCCCCTTATATAGACATGCGACTAGCATAGCTCCTCCTGCTCGACGGGCTGGAGGAGCGGCTGGAAGCGCTCGCAGACCGTATTTGGGATGTTTTTTTTTCAAACCTTTATATTATGAAATATAACTGAAGAGTTTTAATAGAATAAAAGGCAGCTTTATTTTACTGGATTTTTACCACAATTACAAATGAATAATATATAGGTTTAGAATAAACCATTTTACAAAAAAAATACAGGAAATATGAGGCCAGCAGACGCCCTACAGTCTTATACATTGTTAGTGTTATTGTAAATGATGTTCAAACAACCTGAACCTGCACCACATCCCATGCTCTCTCGCTGTGTTTTCTTATATGTTGCTGTTGTGTGTATATGTGTGTGTGTGTGTGTGTGACAGAAATTTGCCAAGGGCCAGACCCTGCTGGACATGGTGTGTGGCCATCTGAACCTGCTGGAGAGGGACTACTTTGGTCTGACTTTCCAGGACACGGATACTGCCAAGGTCAGACTGACACACAGAAACACAAAAACATTCTAACATCCAAACTTTTGAAGTTTGAGGCAATTGCAGCTGCAATTACAAACCAACACAAGCCCAAATTCTGTCCCAAAACAGAAACTATTCTGAACGTATTTGCGTGGAGTCACAACGGTGGCTTATGAAAAACGTCTCACATACACAGCGAAGATGCACATACATGCATACATAACAGGAAGTTCTCCAAAATGTAATGAAATAAAACCCAAAGAATTCCCATCTTTGGTTTACTGGCATAAGTATTTGTTACCTTGTGTTTTTGGATTCATTATTGATCGAAGGTAAGATTTTTTTACTGTGTAACATGGTATAAAGGGACTTTAGACTTTATTTCTGATTATTCTAGTCTGGGCTCAATACTCTTAATTAAGGTCCTTCTGTGGTGAATAGCTTTTTAAAATTTGAGGCCAAATCTATTTGTTGAGATTGAATTTGCCGTATTTCGTTACACCTGCTTCTAATCTTTTTCCTAATTCCTTTTTTTGGTCACTAATTTCAACGCAAATGTCAGGCTGCTTGGCCGAAAGGCCATTATATTTTTCCAGGTGGCATGAAGCTGTGAGTCCCCAGTTGCCCTTTTAACCGTACTTAACAACCCACAATCTGAGAGTGGCGAACATGACCTTTGACCTTTTTCAAAACTTGAGTAGACAGTATGGCCTTTTAAAGATGGTGCACAGGGTCTGCAGTGCAACATGAAAGCTCTGCTGACATTAAGTGTAGGGAGCTGGACTCAACTAACCCCAATATTGATGCTGTCAGCGTTCATCTATTTCCTTGTATTATATTTATATTTGGCTTTCAACAAGGGAACGTGTTTAAAAAGAGATGAACGACTTGTGATTTAAAGTTCTTAAAGGGTCAAAATGTATAATTTCGCTGATGTTGATTGTCTTCAAGGGGATTGTCTCTCTTTCTTTATCAGCACTGGTTGGATCCCTCAAAAGAGATTAAGAAGCAAATTCGGGGTAAGCAAACGCACACACACACACACACACACACACACACACACACACACACACACACACACACACACACACACACACACACACACACACACACACACACACACTCATCCATACACACTAAAAAACAACCTTTCCGGTGATCTGTCTACAGTTGGTTCCTGGATCTTCGGATTCTCTGTCAAGTTCTACCCCCCGGACCCGTCTGTGCTCATTGAAGACATCACAAGGTGAAAAAACAACAACAACATCAACACAGCTCACAATTACCAGGAGCTAATGAGTTGAATTGTATTGAGAATATTTTTGTTTCGGTAGAGAGAGAGAGAGAGAGAGAGAGAGAGAGAGAGAGAGAGAGAAAGCGAGAAAGATCCAGAACAGTGACTCAAATTAGCCGAGGTGACACCTAGTAGAGGCGACAGCCAGTGGCCTCGACAGCACTCCCTGTCCCTCAAAGCTGTCACGCCCTTAGTCGTGCATAACTTTGAGCCTCAATATAATCTAATCGGGTTAGTTGTGTACAAATTCAACCCCCACACAGTTTTTATGAACTTGGAACTTGAACATATTTGTTTCTCCTGGAAACGTTTAACATCAGGATCTATTGGGATTGATTTGCTTTTGGTGCCGTCCTTAAGTGGCAATTTTAATGAGCTGCAGTCCTTGGCCCTTCGCTTTGGCTTTATTTCTCAGCCTCGGAGGTTCCTGCGTTAGTCAGGATTACCTCTTGGTGAGTAGATGCACATAGGAAGGACATGCGCAGAATTGGGTACCATCATTTTACACAAAGATAGGCCATTCCATATACGTCTAATTTCTATTTTCAAGCAGTTATCATTCCCAACACGTCAGATCACACAGGTTAGTCCTTGCCTTTAACACAGACGGTCATTTAACAATACTGATTATATTTCTCTCTATGAAACTATTGTTTCATAGAAGCTGTTGATAAAAACTGTTGTTTCATAGAGACAATAATAAATACACCCTTTATTGTAGGACAGGCCAAGATGTAGATAAATTGGTTCAGGTGCCAGATCATCCATCTGATTAATTCAAAGGATACTGACTCAATCATGAGGCTGATGCTACAAGAATAGCTGATATTTTTTTAAATGAAACAGTCCTCGACCGAGCACAATTTTGATTTGTTGTCATGAAATAAGACATTTCACCAGCATTTGTGCCCTCCCCCCCCACTGCTTTAGGTACTACCTGTGGCTTGCAGCTGAGGGACGACATCCTCTCTGGGTCGTCTGCCCTGCTCATTCGTCACGCACGCCCTCCTGGGCTCCTACACCGTCCAGGCCGAGCTGGGAGACTACGAGGCGGAGGACCACGGCCCGGACTACGTCAGCGACTTCCGCTTTGCACCCAACCAGACACACGAGCTGGAGGAGAGAGTGATGGAGTTGCACCGGAACTACAGGTTTGAGAAACTGCGACTCCATTAGTGTAATTGAAGGCCATGGATATTATAGCAAACGCTGGTGCTGGTTTAAATTCAATGAAGTAATTGTTGTTTATTATGTGTCGTAGGGGAATGAGTCCAGCAGAGGCAGAGGTGAACTTCCTTGAAAATGCCAAGAAGCTCTCAATGTACGGAGTTGACCTTCATCACGCTAAGGTACAGATTACAGGTACAGATTTATCCCAGACCCTTCTTCTGGCAGCACACTTTGGTCTGAGGTTTGTCTGTGCTCAATGCCCGTGTCAACCAGGATTCAGAGGGAATCGATATAATGCTCGGAGTGAGCGCCAACGGTCTGCTCATCTACCGAGACCGCCTCAGGATCAACCGATTCGCATGGCCCAAAATCCTCAAGATCTCTTACAAGAGAAGCAACTTCTACATCAAGATCCGCCCAGGAGAGGTAAATCAAATATCTTATTGACCTTTGTTTTGCTCCATGCTGAGCGTTAGCTGTCAGCATTTTCCCACGACGGGCTTTCTGAAAGAACAGAGGCAACTGGAATGAGGGATTATTTTTGAAAGAACTATCTCGGCATTTATATTTCATGGTTTCGCCGTTGTTCAAATGACATCATTGTTCCTCTTGACTTGCCCCAAACAGTTACATAATTTCATGGTTTGATAAAAATGTTACTTCGGAGATTTATCTGCAGAAAACCATGTGACTAGTGTCAAAGAGATTATTTATAGCCCTCGCAGATTCTGTTCTCAAAGATCAGGCTGATAGGTCCTGTTTTTGTTCTTCTCTTCCTTCTCTCTTTTCCGCTATGGTGTATTAGCGAGTCAAGAGGATTTACACTTCCATCAAGGACTTTACTCGCAAATGTTGGAACCACATTACGCTCGCTCTGGTTTTCAACGCCTTAAATTATTATAATTTGCTGGGTTTTTTCCTTTATTGTTTGGCCTTCGGGGTATCTGGAGTGTGTTTTGCATTCACTGTTGGAATTGACATCTTTATAGCAAACAGCAGGGCCATTCTGTGCACATTATGTTCTGCAGATCTATCCTCTTAAATCAGCTGTCCATTCAAATCCCCCTGCAGGGTTTTTATTGGGTTCTGAAATACTTTCATTCTAAACTGTCCCCACAGATTGTTTTTTGAATGGACTAGTTTTTCTATTTAAAGACCTGTTATATTGCTAATAACCTATTGATTAGAATGCATCTCCATCTGCTCACACTGCTACACAGCTGATGGAGTGATTTCACGAGCAGCTAATTTGTAGGTTGATGAGAGTCCTTAGAAATACTAAGAGTAGACAGAAAAATACCATTGATTTGTCCATTGCTGCAGAGTAAACACAATTCACCCTGCCACCATCCCTCCATCTTTCCCCTCACTTGCTCCCTCCACTGCCCCTTTCCTTCTTAACCCACCTCCTCCACCACAACATCACTCCTTTCCCTCACTGCTCAGTATGAACAGTTTGAGAGCACCATAGGCTTCAAACTGCCAAACCATCGGGCCTCGAAGCGATTGTGGAAGGTCTGCATTGAGCACCACACCTTCTTCAGGTAGGACCTGATAGTCAGACACACGTTCTCTGCACCCCAGTTATTGCACCCTGCATGAATGGTCACAATTTTGAGTTCTGTTTATGCTAAATATTTATTTTTTACAGGTCCAAGAGATCTGTAGAATTTCATGTATGGAACATACATTACATGTAACTTTAAATTAATGGGAAGATTGCTTTTCTGTGCTATTAATTATGTTAGGACACCTGATTAATTTGATAAACTTGTATGTTCATCAGCTGAACCATGTCCAATTTTTCTCCTGGCAAGCACTTAGATTCAATATTTCCAAATCGATTATTGCCTTTATTAGAGTTTGGTGCTGGTTGTGGGATTTAGTTTGCTTTGGGAAGAGCCCAACTACAAAATCTCTGTCTCTATTCTTCCTAGATTAACCACCAAAACACAGCATGTAGTTCTTCTCAGGACATTACTACCTGTAATAGTGTAATTAGGACAGATATGTCCACAAGGGGCAGAATCTGTTTCACATACTCTGAAACTTCCCGTAGGTTGGTTTCCCCGGAGCCGCCTCCCAAGGGCTTCCTGGTGATTGGCTCCAAGTTCCGCTACAGCGGGAGGACCCAAGCCCAGACCAGACAGGCCAGCGCTCTGATTGACCGGCCCGCCCCACAGTTCGACCGCTCCGTTAGCAAGAGATACATGCTGCCCCGAAGCATTGATGGAGGTAAGAACCGTGATGGTGTTCACTTCCCGCACACATGCCATTCATTCCCTGAATTGTATAGTGAGACATAAACAGATGTGAAGGCATCTTTCAACTCGTGTAACGTATCAGACGGCAGCCCGTTTTATGGCCCGACACTGACTGCACCGTAGATTATGTCATGTGAAAGCTTCATCACATGAGTGCAGGTGATTGATGTGTCCCTCCCATTGCACTTCACCAGCCTCGGCTCTGGGCTACAGTATGGAGCAGCTGTCCCACCGGAGCTCCAGTGAACGCACTCAGTTCATGTCCAGAGAAGACCTGGACCAGGAGGGCAGCCTGGACCTGGACCACGATCAGTACCATTACCAGGACCAAGACCAGGAGCAAGACCAGGACCAGTACCCAGAGCTGGACCTGGAGCAGCATGATGGTCAGAACCAAGATCAGGTTCAGAGGCAAACTTGGGGGTCCCACATTTCAACCACCACCAAGACTTTGGAGCTCAAGGTACAAGGATACAGTACATTAATAAACGTACAGCGTTTACAAGTAAATTAAATGAAAACTCATGTGTTCTCCAATGAGTTGACTCACAAAACTACAAGGCTTTGGAAGAACTCTGAAAAATCTCTTTAGCTTCTGACTAACGCTCCTCATCTTTCTCTTACATTCCTTTTCACTGAAGTGTGGAATCAATATCCTTACTTTTTTCCCTCGGCCCAATTTCCTCTATTTTCTGCTCCTCTCAGTATGACTTTGCTCTCCATTTCTTCAGCAGCTTCACCAACACCTAACTTGACTTCTGTTGATATTTATTTTAACCCAGAATCCTGCTTCTAACACATCTTCTCTTCCCTCTGCTCTCCTCCTCTTCCTCTCGTGCAGGGTGAGGAGGAAGGCTCGCCTATAGACTCAAAACCAGAGGTATTTTGACCTTTGATCTTAGTGTCTGAGGTTTTGGTGGTTGTAGTTGTCATGCACGTGTACGCTGTGGTTGTTAAACACAAAAAACATTTCTCTCGTTTGTTTGTCACTGGAGGAAATTCGATTGTTTTTGTCGTGATTACGATGATTCCTCTGAGTAAAATCCATGAAAACTGCTTCAAGCTATTATTAAATGGAAATGAAATAGTTTAAAATGGAATTATTGAGATTATCTCTTTTCTGCCCTCTGGAAAAATATTTTCTGCATAGACATTAAGATTCCATCCAGAGTGAGTGAAGCGGTAGGAAAAAAACATTTGCCAACACATCTTTAACAGTGTCCCTGTGTGAAATTACAAGGACTGATTGCCATTTGCAGGATAAACAGATGGCCCTCAAGCACTGTGGATTTTTCAATGAAATAGTGTTCTTCCGAGTTGGCATCTTGGCTGAAATCTCCTGTGAATTCAGCTTAGATGTGTAAAGTCTCATTATCATGGGAGCTCAGTTCACAGACAGATTATTATCCGTCTGTGGTCAACTACGATAGAAACATAAAGAGAGAATTGGCGGACGCTGAGTCAGCGTTACTTCCCTTCTGTAGGGTGAATGGATTCCCAGTCAAACATGCAAACGCATGTTTAAATCTAAATTGTAATTTATTTAGTTTCAATTTAATACATTTGTACTAAAATCGCAAAAAAAATAACTATCCCCCATTTGTTATTTATTAAATATTTTATTCAAAAGTGGCCTTATAATGTAAATTGCACGTTTATTATTTGATATAACTGATAATCTCCCTCTACAAACACTTATGCTCAGTCAAAATTGGACTGCATTAGTAATCGATTGGCTGACACTGGAATGGATTGTACCTGCTCCTGGGCATATCACACAATGGCTAAATAGTCTTCATAGCTAAGAAGCCCTGGTGGTGTCCAGTGTTCGTCTGCTGTCTGGCCGCTCGCCTTTTCGACTCACCTGCAGCACTTTACCTCTTTGTCTCTGCACGCATCTGCCCCCCCCCCTCCCCTTCCCTCCCCGAACCCCCATTTCCCACCTCCTGCTTTGCTCAAACACCCTTCACTCCATCTCGCTTGCCTCACCTCGGATTTGGCCACAAGGATATGGCCACCCATCGGCCCAAACAGGAGGTACTGCTTGTCCCCTTTTTTTCGGCATGTGCTGTGTGTGTCCCTCACCGGGAGTTTTCTTATCCATTGTCAATGGCATCAGCAATGGAGCGCACAAAGTTGTTCGGTGAACCTCTGCCTTGGTGGTTTTGCATCTCAGTTTCAAATTTTCTACACAGAATTTCCAATTTAAGAATTTGTATTATTATATCATCTTTCCATCCTTTGATCAGTGAATAATTACCACAAGTCTTCCAAAGACTTCCAAAATGCTAGGTGTTGAGTATACTAGAGTATGGTCTGTGGGTACAATGATGAGACTTGTTGTATTTAAAGTAAGAAACATGACGTCAAACAATAGGTGAAAGACTCTAATTCATCCTACATCACATTTACAAAATATAAAACACAAACAAACTAAAATCCACGTTTAGATCACCTTTAGAAATATTACCGTGTGTTCCCGATGTGCCCTTCACTGTGTAAGCAGCAATTCTTGGATAAGCCAGACGATGTTCTTCAGAAGCACCAGGCCAGCATCAACGAGCTGAAGAGGGCTTTGAGGCAGCCTAACAGCAAGATGGCCCAGAGGGAGAAACGCCTCTCCTCAGCTACTCCTCCTGGAGGAACCCCCGAGCGCGAACCAGGTAGATGTTCTAATTAAAAGTTATAATACCCACCATCATCCGATTCCATCGTACTCAGCTTATCTGAATGCAATGTGTTTGTCAGTTCTCTCCATTCTCTGTCAGAAACATTGAGCCAAAACAAAGAAAGCATCTTGAAATGCGTGAAAGTTTGAGGCCCCCCAAGTTAATCACCGATCATCTTCACTAATCACTTAAAGTAATTTTACGAGTAAACAATGATATTAGCTATGCTAATGCAACTGTCTACTCTATGTCAACATAGGCGACCGGTGATGGCAAATTGATTGACAAGCAGGATGCTTATGAAGGAGAAGTGAATGCTTGCCCAAAAGTGGAAAAGAGTCAGCCCACTTCTTTGGGTAGAGACATGTTGACCGTGACACCTTGGACCGAAGCGAAGGCAAACAACTGTCAAAGTACCAGGGACTCTGTAAAAAGTTGTCCCGGAACATCTCCGAAACAAGAAACCGACTTTAGAGCCAAAGGAATAATGAATCTGAACAAAGGGGACGACGCCTTAGCAACAAATGGGAATCGTGATTCGATATTCGCCAAGAATGCCATTCAGGAAAATGGATATGGATCTCCACATGACAAACGGGGGAGTGAACCCATCAGCAGCAATACGAAGCACTGTCAATGTGAGCGCAACGTCCACCGAGAGAGGCCGGAGGACTTTGAAACTCCGGGGAGTCGGGCTGTGGATTGTCTCCCGAAAGGCGACCAAGGCGATATTGAGAGCGATGCGAGCCGCTGTGAGACTTTGAAAAAAATAGCCGCGAGCCCGTTGGGAGCCCAAGATTGCAATAAAACCAGGAACTCTCACTCAGAAGTCCCCAAAATAGTTCCTCTCAAGCCACAGAGATCAAAGAAGTATTTGAATAACGAGAACTCGGGCGTTGGAAGCGATCAAAGTCGGTCTGACGGAGGCGTCTTTGGTGCGGCTGGCGATGCGCAGATGACAGAACCCAGAGATGAGTCCTGTGAGGCAGGAAGGAGAGTGGACGATAAGGCCGCACTGCACTCTGCTGCAGATGAAAAAAACACGGCCTCCAAACACCTCAGCGAAGCCGCGACGTCTTACCAGCATCCAACTCTGCTTAATCTGCAGATTAAGAACGAGTTGTTTGGACAACAGGAGCTTAGAGACTGCAGAGGGACGACAGGGTGGACAAGGGGAGGACGCGAAGAGCATTTTCAAAACAACTCTGAGTGCAAAGAGAATTTCCTCTCTAGCTCCAAATGTCCAACTGCTCCTCCTCGAACTCTCCCGCTGAAAACGCAATGGTCCCGAGACAGACAGAGTAACGTGGACAGCAGCCACATCCACTACAGGACGCCCGGCCAAGAAACAGCCAGGTGGAAGCAAGCGGTAAACCCATCTGAGCCCCCTAAACTGTGTGTCAATCATGGGAAAGTAAAGCATTGCATGAGCTTCAGGCGATGTCGTGCAAACCTTGTTTTTACCATCTAAAAACAAAAACACACAAAAAAAATCACACATTCTTCAGAACCCATGTGGCTGTGAAAGCAAAGGTCCACGTTCCTTGGCATCGCATCATTGATCGACTCAGTTCAAGCCCATGGCCCTGAAAGCATTGTGCTTTCCCTCGTTCCCCTTCACAAAGCATAACATCTGCTTGGTCATTTGAGAATGCCGCGGGCCTTTAAGCAAAGTTCCCCGTGCTTCAGCTGTCACCTTTACCCCGCCTTAACTTACCGCGTTCAAACCTGGTCTTTCCTTTTCGAAAACCCTCGTTCCGCCATTTTTCTCCGGAAAACAATTTCTTAAATCCTTTTAGTGAATGGCTGTGAAGGACATTTAAAACAAAATGCTTTGCCGTGGCGACGAGTTGGCGGCAGCAGAAAATGAAAAGAGGCGATTAGATGTCAAGAAAAGCGGCAGAGCTGCCTAACCTCTTCAGGGCTGAGGCATTCATATGCAGCATTTCAGATTATGGATACCTCTTTCCTGAAAGGGATTTGGAAAGATCTAACCGTTCAGTGCATGGCATCACCATTGCACTTGTGCTCATTTCTTATGACGTCAACCTGTGAAGTATTCCCTGTGTGCATGCTTTGCGACATCAGCTGTAAGCTTCGCAACCTCTGGGAATTCTTGTATTTGCGTCTGCAGTGTAGTGTGTAGTGTAGTGTGGCATAAAATGTAGTGTAGTGTGGCATAAGCCACACTACACTACATTTTTATACAATAATGCAGAGAACAATGCCCAGCAGAAAAGGGATTAGCTTAAAAGTTGTGAACATTGCAAACATATTTTCTCTAAATATGACAAATAATGCTCTGTGTTGTGATACAATCAGAACATGACGTTAATGCCGAGACAAACAAAGGTTCTGTTTCAGCTCTCTCCCTTTCTGATGCAATAACGCTCTTTTGCTGGAGTACATCTAGACTCCAGCCAAAGAGTATTTAGCGTGTAGTGGTATCATGGTTCGTTGTGTTAAATTCTATTGATTATTATTCGTCTCATGTTAAAGTTCATGTTCCCCTTTGTTTTCTTCTCTAGGATACTCCTCCCACACCTGCTATTCATGAAGAACCTTTCAACGAAGCTTCAGTGAGTCTCGTATTAGTCGTTCCTCCCATTATTACTTTAATGTATTAGTAATACATGTTCTTGGATTTGTATTATATTCATTACTTTGTGTTAATACTCAAAATGAGGAATTTATGGCACTACTTATCCGAGGCACATATTTAACGAGTGACTTTTTAAATTAAAGGTGAAATCACAAGAGCACAATTAAAGACACACAATTACTAAAGTTACACAATAACCAAATCAAATCCAGAATGTATTATTTAGTGATTATTGGACAAGAATCTGCTGAGAAAGACACCAATGCTTTTACTTTTGTCAGGAGCTCATATTCTTTGGTTGTATAAGTAGATATAGTTTATATGGTCTGATGTTCTGAAGTCTTCTCTGCAGAGGGAACCGTGGGAGAGACGTCTTGGCTCCGTCTCCGAGGATGACCAGGACCACGAGATCCTGTACCTGAAGGAGACCCACCTGGGCATCGAGCGCAAATGTTCCAGCATCACCGTCAGCTCCACGTCCAGCTTGGAGGCCGAAGTCGATTTCACCGTCCTCACGGACCTGCACTCGGGCATGGAGGAGTTCTCCAGAGGCATGACGGAGCTCGGGGAGAGGGACGCGTCTCCTGATGTGGGACTGTGCTTCAGCATGGACTTCCTCCAGCAGCAGGTCCCCTCCGAACCATCTCCTCCACCGCTGTCCGCCCCCTTGTCCAGAGGAGCCAGCAGCAGCCCGCCGGCCAAACTCATCCAGGCCGAAGGAGTCCGACCGGAGGTCAAACGACCCGATGTGCAGGTAGACCCAAGTTTTCATATCAAGTGGCTCCTCCTAATTCGGCTTGATTTGTTCAGGCAGGTACGAAGAACCGTGCTATTTTTAGGTGCCTAAAAATACGAGCCCTCTTTTCAAGTTCAGTTATGTTTGGGTGTCAACACGAACCATCCCGAAATGGCAACAAACCATGAAAGTGTTTCTAAGAAGAAGCATATGAGAACCAAATGAAGGAAGCAGAAAACAACGGTTGCCGGCTCACGTGGACTGTGGATGAATTTTTGTTTAAGAGCTTGTTTTTCTACGACTGTTGTTGTTTTCATGTTTTTGTCACAAATCTTTAGGCTATAACATAAAGCGTAGAAATGTTCTTTGAATATATTTTATAAGGCTTTAAATGAAATCTAGAGCAGACAGAGGAAACAGTCATTTGCTGTTATTTTACCGAGCACTGAAGGGTATTAAAGAAACACCTCCATATTTCTCATCCCTGCTTTTCTTTCTTTCTTCTTTCGTCATTTGAATAGATAAAATACCTCTTAAGTGCAGAGATAAAACATAAATCGTTCATCCTGTTTAATATTACAGTCACATGACACGTCTGTGTCTTTAAGCCCGTAGTCCCTAAAAAACCAAAGAGGTCAGTGCCGGTGTCCTCGTCAGTGGACAGAGAGGCCGGCCGTGTCTCTGCTGTGACGCCGCTGAGCCGGGAGGCCAGCGACGTCGCGCCCACACCGGCAGCGAGGAAGACGGACGTGAGAACAGAGACTCAGCCCAACGGATCGGAGGTCACCACAACCATCGTGGAGTTCACAGATCAGGTTGGATTAACATTGACGTCAAATTATTAACGTTGCTGTTACGACCCAACCGCGAGTCACACAGTGAATTTGTCTGTTTCAGGATCACAGTATCACCGGCCTGAGTGATGTTTCATATTCCTCCAGACAGAGTGTGTCCCCTGTGAGTACAAACAGAGGGGTCGCTACCATTTTAACTCAACCTCCTGCACACTCTCCTGGGTGTAAACCTACTTACCGGACAAAGACCAAAATAAATACATTTCTGAATCCAAGCCTGACTGGATTTCCTGAAATATCAAAACATAATGACTTCTAATCGGTGATGACTTGATTTGTTCTCTAATGCTGCCGGCCGTGCTTCTTCCTCAGGTGCATATTGGAAGAGAGGCGTCACGGTCGCCCATCCTCATCACTGAAAATGTTACCTCGGCAACCACTCACGTCTCCAAGGTAGGAAAGCTTAAAGGGTAACTAGGTCCATTTTTAGAAGTCATACATGATTGATTTTGTCAAGAGCGCCAAAACAGAGACCAAGTCAAGTCAAGGACCGGAGTTCATTGAGATCAACACAAGACCAGGACTTTGTCGGGTTGAGACTAAGACCAGACCAGTGCGGGTCCATAACTCCATGACACATATCTGATGAAATGGGGAACAAATGGGGCTAGGTTACTCAAAGAGAAATTCCCTTTATTACATGTTTTGTTTTAGAAAGACAATAACAAATATCATAGAATGAATGTAATTTGGTCAAACAGACAAAACAAATATTCCTTTCCATAAAATCAGCTTTCTCTTCATTTGTCTCTGGTTGAGCTCCATACTTGATGACACAAGATGGACTTTGCTGGTTTCTTGCATAGACATTAGCTCATGTCCATCATCAACGTCTGAATACAGTTAAATAGCTCTGCTTTGAAGCCGATTAAAAAGAGAAGCCATTGTGTGTGTTAGACGGTGAAAGGAGGATATTCAGAGACCAGGATTGAGAAGAGGATCATAATCACAGGAGACGATGACGTTGACCAGGAACAGGTGAGCTGAAACTATCTGTCAAAAACAGTCAAAAACGAGCATCCATGTCGCTGTTTGTTATCTTTGGGCGTTTTAGTTTTTGGAATATTGGTATTGAAAGCCTGTTTTCAACCTAATATCGAGTTAAACCAAATACATCTATTTAACAATAATATTACAATTTAATATATTACAATAGTACATAAAAAAAGATCCTCACATTTGAAAGGAGGGAACAAGGCAATATTTGGCATTTATTCACTATTCTTCTATTTGGGAACGGATACATAGTAAATCATTTTTTTTCCCAAAATTTGGTTTTGGTTGAATCTCACATCTATTCTATTATTTAAAATCGGAAGAAAACTATGACTTTTTCCACACAGGCTCTGGCTATTGCGATACAGGAAGCCAAGCAGCAGCATCCAGACATGCAGGTGACGAAGGCAGTGGTTGTCAGGGAAACGGAATCGTCCGCTGAGGATCGACACAGCGTTTCAGAGGTACGGTGCCATCTTGACTCCAAACGATAATATCTAGCCAGGAGGCCTCAGGTTGGCCCCAGCACCCTCCCTTTGAGATTAAAGGATTCAATGTTGACTTTCTTCTTTCTTCACCGGCAGTCCTGATTTCTTGGGATGAGAGCCCCCTCGTTTGGACTGAAAGTGTCAGTGCCCGACCTGAATTCGCTACATGCAACCCCTACACCATAGAGTCTGTACCATAGACTACTGCCGGTGTAATGACACGTTCACAAACAAACAAACAAACCTTTTATTGTCATTGAAGCATTTCACTATTTGAAACCATACCTTTTTAGAAGAGTGATTTGGCGGTCATGCTGGAAAAACAAAAAAGAAATCCCTGATTGGTCAACAGTATGCCACCAGACCTCCAAACGTCTTGGACAATTGAACAGATTGGATCCGAATACAACTCATTTTTCTGCACGGCCTCACAAACACTGTGGAATAATGCAAGACCTTGTGCAGCGCTGGTACCCGTCTCATGAAGAAAGTATTATTTGGAAACGGAAAAAAAAAATGGTCATGCACTTAGGAGTGTCATTTACATGTCTGTGCAGCTGTACTGAATAACAAAAAAAGAATATAAGATTCCTGTTGTGATTGCTGGAAAAAAAGAAACGCTGAAAAAAACCTACTGTGTGTGTGTGTGTGTGTGTGTGTGTAATTACTCTTGATGAGACAATATAATCCATTACATGTAACCCTTGCGGCAGGGTTTAGTGAGAGCAGAGCAAATCCTGCTCTTTTCACTCCTGCACAGCCACAGTAATGAGTTAGCTTTGTCCAACCGTCGTCACACTAATGAGGATCACGTGGAGCCAACGCGGCCTCTTGGTGGCCGGAGCCGGTCTGATCACTATACTTCCTTCTGCCCGTGTCCCCTTAAAACTTCTGTAGAATGTATTTGATGATGATGTGTGAGTTGCCGCATAATGATGGACGTTGATTTGACTTTTTGAGACTTTTTCCATTACGTGTCTGGACTTTAGAAGCTGTTAATACGCACAGTGTACCAGTTGTATTTATTCAAATGATGACGATGTAGTTTCTGAGCATGCTGATGTTTCAGAATGAGCCCAGTTTCTCTCCCTTCTCTCCAGCTTAGAGATATGCTTTCACGGTAAAGCTGGATATAATACCACTCTTGCCATATTGTGTGGTAAATACATAGAGTGGGCTGTTCTTGTTTTACTAATGCAGCAATCCGTTCTGTTCAGTAGCTCACAGAGCGGGTTGCTGCATCAGTAAAACTACAATCTGAGGTAATGTTTGCATGATATTTTTTTGCCTTGTTGGATTGTATTTGAGTGATTTAGATATCAACTCATAGGAAAGATGGATCATGATGATCAAGATATAAAAGGCCGAAATCTTCACATCGGAAGTTGAATCTGATCTTCCAAATGAACCAAAAGGAAATTAGCCTCCTGAAATAAAATGGAGAGTAGTCATAACAAACAGTTAATAATCATACAAAAAGCATACAAGTGATTCAGTTCAGGCTACAGTTCCTTCAATTAATCCTTAAACAGTTTCATTCTGTTCAAGCCACTGGGGTTGCTATGCCTCTTTATTTCACATATCACTCTGCTTTTGATATCACTTCCCTTCTTTCACTAAAACAAAAGCGTATTGGTCTTTGGTGCCGACATTAACTTGTGGTGACTGATATTTTTCAGTGTTATTTATTGTACAATGCATATTCATCATCTTCCAAAATACTCTGTACAAATGGTATTAGGCATCAGAGACCTTTTTTTTAACAAAGTACAGTGTTATGAATAAATATTCAGTAGCAGCAGAATATCTGAACTTTTAGTTTTGTGTCCTTTGGTACATGAATGTTAGAGGGTTGCCAAAGGCATGTGGTGTTCCAATTGAGGAAGCAGTTAAATTGTACAAACCCTGATTTTGTATGACAATATTTGTATAAACAAGCTACTTTTAATTACCAGGGAGTCAAATTCAATTGGGTTCCCTTTAATTATGGTGTCTTTAACATTACCTGCAGAATTTCCCTTTCTTTGTGAAAGTAATATTTCATGTGTAAGTAAATATAGGTAGCTTCAAAATTCATGCAGAAAATAAAAACAGTTTAACACGGTATAACTGTCAAATCAGGTTGATGAGTGTGTTATATGGTATGATTTGCTTTTCTGATGTGTACTTCCCGATGTATCTCACCCTTTGGTCTGAAATCGTTTTTTGAAATGATGATTAGTCGTAGATGTTGGATTCAAACCGGTCGGTGGAAAGCGATACAGCTACAGTATGTACACCTCGATAGTCCTGTTTGGTGGAGTTCAACGATGTGAAGTAGATAACGGCCATGGGCTTGATGTACACCATCCTTTGCACCATTCTTCACTTTACTTTTTACAAACTACCCAAAATCACACTTGATCATCAACCTGTTGGGTCAACGTATCTTCCTCCGTCCAGAAAAGACCAGCCCATGGAAGTCTGACAAGTAGTAAGTAGACTGTGATTGATCAGAGACGTCCTGGTGCCAAAGTGGTTTTGGACGACCTCTGGCTGACCCTTGAACCTTGCCCTCCCCTCCAGCTCCATCTCTTCAGCCGTCCGTCGCTTGGTGCCGTGTCTTTAACGTAGATTGTACTTGCATTCCTACGAAATGAATAAAGAACAGAAAAAATGAGAATTAGATAAGAGGGGGAATCCCTGTTTGATCTCTTGTTTTTATTGCATATGGTGTCCTGTTGGCCCGATGATGAACTGCAGCTGGGTTCGCTCAGGAAAAAGGAATTTATTAACACACTTGAGATGTGAGACGTGTCTCAGCATCACTTTGGCAAATTCATTGCCTAATTCTTAATGGTTGGTGCCACAGTTGTTAGTACAGTCCCTAATCCTCAAAAAGATATGAACAGAAAACAACCGTGTTTTCATAATTTGAACAATCTTAACCAAAATGTTTCACACAGCAAATAGTGAAAACTTAATATACTTAATATATAATATAATACATAGTTTATAATATAAACTTGAGCATTAGAAAAATATATTTTGGATCTAACAAATATCAAAAATACTATTAGTGAATATCCCCAATTGAATTGTATATTATCAGAATTCTAATAGTACTTCTGTAGGTCTAAAATTGAAAGCCTTTGAAAGCATATTTTTCCTCGGGAGGTCAGAGACATGACATGTGACCGTTCATTTTGACTAAGAATAGTTGAGTGACTTATAGCAGATCGGCAGTAACAGATTTACAAATGTTAAAACTGCTTTATGCTTGACAGAGACACTGTGAATGTGGTATTGAGATTTTAGCGGATGCCTATGTGCATGCAAAATATCTCGCCGCAGGATTCACTCATTTAAGGACGATTTGGTCTACGTTTACTAAAGACTTTCAATTTGCAGCAGACGTCCATGTTTTCATGTTCTCAGATTGGTGCCTTTCGGAGTTTCAATAGTTGTCAGTAGTCACTTTGTCAAAAGGGGGGAGAATGCGCCATTTGAAGCATTATTCAACATCATTGCTGTAATGACTCGCAGCACAACTTGAGCACACCGTTTTTATAAAGGTAAGGATTCTTCCCTTGTTTTCCCTCTTGGAAGGTTTTTTTCATTTTCTGGGGAGTTGTGCCGATGGTGGGTTTCGGCACAGAGGATGTCGTATGTGTACAGACTGTAAAGCCCTCTGAGGCAAATTTTTTAATTTGCGATTTTGGGCTATACAAAATTATAAATTGAATTGAGTTGAATTGAAAGACTCTTCAATGGGATTTTGTCTCAAACAAAACAGTACAGGCAATATAAACACACAAAGACTGCCAAAACCCTAACAAACTAAAGATGTACCCGCCAGAGGAGTCATAAGTATGTGGTTACAAATATGAAAAAAGGAAATTCAGGTCGTCATAATAGCTACATTGCCTATTCTCTGTTCTATTTAAACAACGCTTATTATTATTTTATTAAAACCATAGCTCATGTATTAAGTTAGTGATCTATTAGTTTAGTTCTGCATTTTGCAAATTATATATTTTTGTTTTTGTTACACATCCACCTACATGTTCCCAAAGGAAAACAGAAGGTACCCATAACATGCACAACATTAAATACAGAACAATACAAGTTACTTAAGCTATTCATGTGTATTGTATTGGCTGGCACTCACTCGTCATCTCACTGCAAAAGGGGCCCTGGTTTGGTTCCCGGGTTTGTTGGCCCTCAGGTGCAGAGTTTGCATGTCCTCCTCGGGTCGGCTCGGGTTCCCTCACGGTTCTTCCTCCTACAGTCCAACAACATGCAGGTCGGATTAACTGATCACTCTAAATTGGCCGTGTGAGGGTGTGTGAATCTGAGTTTAGATGGTTGTCTCTCTCTATCAGCCTTGCGGCCTTTTGAGTTAAGTTTCCACAAGTGCTTTTGCATTTGTTTGTTCATACATGTATGTCCTTTGCATTTTAACCTTTTGTTATTAATGTATTATTTTCATTATACCTTCTTTTGACATTTATTTATTTTTATCATTATACAACTGACAGGTTTGTCAATCACATGTTTCGTGGGGTCATCTTATCTCCCATTGGTTGATGGTTAGAGTGCATAGATTGACTACATGCTAGCTGGCTAACGCTGCAGCGCCCCCTGCAGCTGCCTCACATGCTGGTCTTGTATTCTCCAACCAGGACAGGTGGGCAAATCAACTGACCGTGAATTAACTGCTTCACGAACAATTGCTGGTCTCGTCCTCGATGTTGAGCTTGATCAAAGTTGGAAACCCCAAACAGTTCCCCAAAGCTATTCTCTTTTTGTGAGACCTGAGAGCCTTCTCGGGTTGTCTGGGGGCTTTTGTCCCCTGGAAGAAGTCATAGTACAACATGTACAAGTATCTCATAATATAGTATGTTGAAAGAAACCCATAACATTCCAAAGACATTCATTTAAAGTTATTGTATAGTATGTTGAGGATTAATGTGAAAGTATTAAGAAAATCATAAAAACAGTCACACTATGTAAACATTGTAATATTATAACAATATAGCACGCTGAATTAAATGATAAAAACAGTATTGGTATTCTTTGCTAAAAATGTCATTTATGAATGCCGTGGTAAAGTACGTCATTAATATAACCAGACCCTGTGTTTATTCTGGTCTGTTAATTAGAAGTTGCAGTAAATTTATTTTCAGTAATAAAAGCTAATTAACTAGTTTACAAGAGTTTCATGTTCATTTTCAGCACCAACCTTTTTTACTTTTCTAAAGTATAATCCGTCACTGTTAATTCTCTAAAAAATCTTACCTCAAAGTCCCCTGACTGACATTTTGGTAAAATCAAACTCCATCTGCTAAGTAAGACCAAAAGTGCTCTATTTTACATAACGGGGGGATTCGCCGCAGCCTTTGGGTTATTTGTGGCTTCTTCTGACAGCAAATAAAGGAATGAGGAAAATGGCATTATGTTTATTAAAAGCAGCTTGATCCATTCAGACACCCTAAGCAACGTAGGTACGTACACTGACCAATCTCATGCCGAACAGCAGCTAAACAGTATCTCATTGGTAAAATACCATCCCTACTTTGTAGTAAGCTACGTAAGAAAAGTCCGTTATCACCGCCACTTGTACTGTATTACAATGCGCATCATGAAGACTTGGGAAAAAGGCAGGTCGTTTCTGAGCCCGAAATGCCCAAACCAAAAGCACTGAAAACTCAACATAGCAAAAAAGTAAGTCAGTTTTTCATAAAGTATATCATGAGTGAGCCACAGTACAAATGCAAAAATAAACAGAGGAAGAAAATAAATAAAACTCTCTTGAATTATAATGACGTGGATAATAATCATAAGGCTCATTTGGGACCTGAGGATTTCATACATACGTGTACAACAATGGGGCTCGGAATGCTCAGCGTGACGGACTTAACATGGATGAGCGAGGAAGGTAAGACATCAATTAATCAACACGGGGCTGCTGTTTACAACGGAAGCCATTTGGGGGAGTGTAGGCGCAGCATTTTCTCACAATGATACAACAGGTGGTATCGAACCAAGTTGGCTCAATACCTTTGGTTACAGTTTCAGATTGCATGGCAAGTTCCCATGTAATGTGGTACAACACAAAAGCATGAATACAATCCAGGTAGAGTTACAAAGGTCCCAAATTCTGATCTGTCATAAAATAATGAGGCTTAGCCCCCTGTATTTGGCAGGGATTAGTACAAGTTGGTTGTCTTGCTTAGTCAGATCAGGAAGCTTTCAAACACTACAGTCTACACACAGCTGGGACGTCGCTTCATCCATCGCTTGTCTTAAACCGAGCATAAATACGACTTCACTCACATAAATATGAGCTACTGAAGGTCTCCTCCCACTTCACTTTAGATCCAATCAAAGCGTCCAGGAAAGGTCCAGAGGTACAAAGGATATCTGTTCAAAAGGACCTGCACAGTACCTCAGCAAAAGAAAAAAACACGTTCACATCCTTTTGTGCTTCACGCACCGCCTGGGCCTCCGAGGTTAAAACCATATGAGAATATCCAATGGTTGGAAGGGACTAAATAAAGAAACATCTTCAAAGAAACTGCAGCCAAGTCACGGTGTCCTTTCACTGCCATGAAAGCAACTTCTGAAAGCGGCAGCTCCTTTCAACAACTCAGAGAGGTGGAGGGAAGGATTCTTCCTTTACAAAGAGATCTTTGTAGAAAAAACCACAACAGGAAAGACAGTAGGATGGGGAAGGGAGCAGGTGGAAAGTCTCCAACCTGCCGTTTTGCCTCTTACTGCAGGGAGCAGCTGTGGTGCCCGGTGGATGCAGATGTTTGTCATAGTGCAGTTCTTGCTGTGAGGATTAACGCTGCAAGGTTGACCAAGGGAAACGCAGAAGACTCTGGGGCTGCTCCTGTGGCTATGGGGCCTGGAATACACAAACAAATCAAAATACCTTGTGTTTGATAGTCTGATATCGTGTGCAAATGTTGCTCTGTAAACGTGGTTTCGGTGTGAACTCCTCTCGTAAAGTAATTATCACAGTAAGAAAAACACAGCAAGCTAAACAAAATATGTATTCGGACTTGTGTGAATACACACACATGCCAATAGATGGCACTGGTGCGCTGCACTCGGCCGTGGAACCCAGAGAGTGTGAGACAAAGCATCAGACATGGTTTGATTCTCGGTTTGTAGACAAACTTACTTTAAAGAGAAAAGGCTTATTTGAAGACTCACCATTTAATGGGGGGGGGGGGGGGGGGTTCATATAAGTGTCAGCGGTACCAATTTATTTAAAGGCATTAGCCTGAAAATACCACACTGCAATGCAACAGCAGACCATGCTGGGTTTACATTGTATATATATTATCTTTATCTTCTATTTCTTGTGTGCTAAAAACACAAGTTTACCGGAGTTTGCAGTTTGATTTCTCCTGAGACTGAAAACTAACTCTGAGGCCTCACACACGGACACAGGGATCATTATCGTGTTTCATGTCGGAGCGATTTCCCAACCTGCTATCTTGGGGATGGTAATCTGCCGGCTGCTGCTGCCTTCGCCTCCCTCGCTGAAGGGTTTGATCTGGATCACGTAGTCCTGGTTGACCGGTAGTGACAACTCCAAGGAGGTGGTGTTGGTCTCCACCACACTGGGAAAACTGTGTTTGTCCTGGCTGTACATCACCTGCAGGAGGCAGAGAGGTACAGATGAGGGCAGTGTGAGGCACGGCACGAAAGCAGCTACGATGAATCACACGGGGGAGGTTTCAGCGTCCTTGTTGATGCACTGACAAGAACATCTAAGTTCTAGCTTGTGTTTCCTTCAGACAGCTCTCCCTGAGATGTAACGTGCTGCCGCTGAAACCAACCAGATGAATCTTACTGTAGACAGCTGCACGAGGCTGTGATGGACCTCCAGAGTAGAGGGTGCGGCAGAGATAAAGGGAATGTGAAGGTGCATCAATCCTGTCAGCTGCAGAGGAACCCGCCCACTTTCTAAGCCCCATTCTCAGGAGACCCCGTTATGTAGTGAGACAACATGCAGCGACTGCAGCCGACCACAACCTCAACATCTTAGTTTGATATTCTCAACCCTGTGAGCCTGCAAATTAATGTTTGAACTTTTTATTTTTAAAGATATGCCAAATGGCACTTTGGGATAATTCATAACCTGTAAATGCAATTTCTAAAGTAGTCCTTAAAATATGTATAATGCATTTGATACTGCCATGCAAAGTTCAAATGTTGAAACCTGGGCACGCCAATCACTCTACTGGTGACGTGTATGCAGAACATTTCCTGCAATATCTCCCCTCTTGAGAAACAATCATACAAATTGTGGATCTTTTATCTGTTGCTGAAATTCGCTGGAAGGAAATAATAGGATATGGGCACTGTGGTCATAAAGGGATTATTATTCTAGGAGAGTAGGCAATTTGTGGAGATCTTCAAAATGAAATGAATGCGCAGGGACACATCACACCACCCCAACTGACTTTGTTATAAAACAATTGGGGGGCCCGCTGCACAAATTAAACGCAGTTATCTTTACGGTGAGAAGGTTAGGCGCCTCCTTACTTATCAGCAAAGTGGACTGTGGTATTTATACACGAGGGCAGTAAAAACTGGCAGCGGAAAATGCAACAGTTAACTGATATTTAAATATGTTACAGTCTATAACACCGATTCACCCGTCAGAGAGAGACGAGTTCAAGCACTCTCTAGTGGGGGGTGTGTGTGTAAAACTCCCCGCTCCTTACCTTATATCCTGTGACTTCTGACTCATTCTCCAGAGCGTGTACTTGGTCCCACTTCAAAATAACCTTGGAGTTGGAAGTGTTCCACATAATTTTGACCGGGGCTTGACTGGGCGCTGGAGGAGGATGGAGGAAAGGGAGGGAGTAAAACAACAAGCCCCCCACCGTCGAAGTCCAGAATCAACTCAGCACGAAGGGGTTTTCTCATTATCAGTTCGTCACCCCACTGTTAGTGGCGAGCAGTGACTTTAACAAAGGTGTTTGTGAGTTGGTTCGGGAGAGTGAATAAGAGACGTGTAAGTGTGAAACAAATAATATACAATACAATATCATCCAGCTATTTGAACACATGTGGTGCTACTCATCTGACCCTGTGAAAAGAGAAAGAGCGTAAAATCTAAAGTTGTTTATAGCAAACCTCACGGCGGGAAACAAAATCAGGAATTTATAGCTTATAAGGCTCTGCATGTCAAAATCACATATTGATTAATTAATTTAAACAGGTGCTTACATCAAAGATTTGCCCCGTCTATCAAATGACAAGTGAGTGCTACACAACGTCCCTCAGTTTCATGCTATTGTTTGTAAGATGTGCAGGGAGAGATAAAAAGGGGTTCGACGTGTAGCAACGGTCCCTCGCCCAGGACTATAAAATACATAACCAAGGCTCCTCCATATGGCACCTTTTACGGTGATCTTGTGTATTGACGCTTGGCTACTTTCACTCTAATTGGTGAAACATTATTGCTGAAATGAAATATGTGCCAGACGGACCACAGGAAGAAAAAAAAAAAAAGGTGCACAAAAAGTCGTTCCCCACACTGTGCTGAGAGCCCTTACGTGGTTTCTTGGTGGTGACATTGACTATGATGCTCTGTGGACCCACTCCAGCGCTGTTATAGGCCCGCAGAGACATGTAATAGGTACTGCTGCCCTCCAGATCCCTGACGAGCACGGACGTTTTGTTCCCCACTGTCCGGATGACGGCGGCTGTGTCCTGCTTCTTCTTCTCAGCCCAGTACTGCAGCTGAAACCACACAACCATACACAGATAATAGTCGGCATCAAATGTGTTACTCAATTTGCCCTGTAACTGCCCCCCCCCCCCATAGGCGTGAATCCTCGGGGGGCTTCATCCTGCCCTGTGGTCGACTTAATGCTCAAGACATAAAGGACGTGTTTGTATTGATATCCAAGATCCGCCACTAGCCGTTGGCACTGTCCGCTACATTTATACAATTCCCGCTGTGTGGGCGCGTGTTGGTTTGACCTCATAGCCCAGGATGCGTCTGCGGTTGTTGCTCCAGGCCAGCGGCTTCCAGGTGACCTCTGCCTCGGACGCAGATACGCTCTTCGCCCGCAGCCTCCCTGGAGCTCTGCTGGGCTCTGAAAGGCACACAGGATAGTCAGGATAAAGAGGAGGACTCAGATCCACTACCCCCCCCACGTCTAAGGGGTGACTTATTGAATAAGCTGTAGCTCTGTTCAGTCTATCAATATCACTTTGTGAGGAGGAGTTAATGTTCCAACTTAATTGAGTATTAAGGACAGGAAAGTCCACGGAATGCAACATCACAGCCCCTAAAGGCTTAGATACGAATCTGTACAATTAAAAATCCCTTAACAAATCCATCCAACTTTAAATTGAGAAAAGACTCCTTTGTTGTGATTTAAGAGTTAACCAGTATTTTAGTTACTTCATCAGACTGTGTGGGTGTGGTTTGATTAGATTAGATTCAATATTGGTTTAACTATCTGAGAATTATCCTTTCTTCATTTGATTGCAGCCAACTTCTTGCTAGTGAAAAGGACTCAAAGAAAAACATTTGGAAATCAATCACATTATGAGACTATATGAGAACATATTTTTTTCTCATTCAGTTCACTTTTGCCAACGTTTTTTAGGAATTAACAAATAGATCTCAAAACGGTAAAAATAGTTTGTAATAGTACACACCTTCCTCCGCTGAGTAGATAGTGGTCACTGGACTGAAAGGGCCTTCTCCCTTGTTGTTGTAAACCCCGACTTTGACTTGGTAAGGGGAAAAGGGAGGGATGCTCTCATTCTTGAAGACATATCTGGAGGAGTCCGGAGACGTGACGGCCGCCTGCATCCAGCCCTGCGCCGCAAGTGGGCGGAAAGCCACCACGTAGCCGAAGCCCGGACCACTCTGCTGCTCCTCTGGAACAGGCTACGGAGGTATGAGTCACAGGGATGACTCAAGATGACAGACCGTACAGATATAACATGTATACCTAAATGAAATGCAGCTATGCACGGATCAGTGCGGGAATACTGCTGAGCGTGGTGCTGTCTATTATCGCAATGTTAAATATGTGTGTGTTTGCGTGTTACACAAGTTTACCTCCCAAGTGATGACAAGCTCTGAATGTCCCCCACCTCCACCATTCACCCTGGACGGAGTCGCCCTGGGAACTAACAGATTAAACGCAAACATGTTAGGAGGAACAATCTGTAAATTCAATTACCTGCAATTAGAAATCAGTAACCTGCAATCAGTAATTTGCTGCTCCCTATTTAGTAAAAGGAGTTTGAGATATTGAGCATGTTCATATTTAGATGTTTCTTAAATTCTAACTTTACAAATGGCAGCATCGATTTGAAAAAGACAGACTCATTCTGTACAAAGGCAAAGAGGATACGACTATTTCAATCTGAAAAAATTGATTCCAAGAACTCATAAATTACTACCCTGCTTTCAGTTAGAGCATCTTTTATAGGTTTTTCATCATAATATATTAATATTATAAAAACATTTTAAAAGTTTTTAAATTATCCTATATTAGTGTTTTGTGTACATATGTGTACTTTTCTCTGCATCACTGTCTTGCTGCATACGCCTGCAGTTTTTATAAAAACTGTATGTATTGGTTGGGAGAGTGATTTAATTTTTTTCCCTATTTTTCATCCACTCTTGTTTAACACGATTCAGATGTTCCTTCTGGACTAAAGATACTAATATGCATTAGTATCATGGCGGCAGAGGAAACATAAGGATACGTACGCATTTCTCTGGTGCGGGCCTTTTTGGAGGATTTGCTGGGCTCTCCTGTTCCTATGCCGTTTGTTGCCAGGACTCTGAATTCGTACTCCACCCATGGACTCAAGTCAATGACAGAGCATGACAGCTGCTTCCCCCCGAGCAGCTCGGGTACTGAGAGATCACAGAAAGAACCTCGCATCAAATCATGAAAGATCTGCCTCTGAAAGTATGCCAAGCTGACGACGTGTTATTTACTGTCACTTCACGTGTGCTGCTTGAAAAAGGATACCAGTCACATCCAGTTCCCTCTTTTTGATCTAATAACTTCACATTCACTCAACCTACAGTGGGGACTGTCAGATAAAAAACGCCTACCGGTGGTAACGGCTTGCCACCCGAGGGAGAAGGGCGTTCTGGCCTGGATGGCGTAGCTGTGGATGGGGCTGTGACTGTCCATAGCGGGTCCCCAGGACAGAGAGGCTGTGGTCTCTGTCATCGCCGTCACCTGGCAGTCAACAGGAGGCCCCGGAGGACCTGCAGGAAAGGGAGTGAGAGTCAATGTGTGCACAAGGATTTGTGAACCGTAGAGATTTATGAGGCCATAATTAGAAATCAGAAAACATTTATTACCAAAATATGTCAGACATACAAGGAATTTGTGCGGTTGGACGAGTTAAAAAATAAAATGAGTCTGAGCGAGTGTGAGGATGGCTGGGAGTTTTTCACACTAGTAGCAGAAAAAAACAAAAAAAATCTAATCTAAAGAAGTGCAGTTCATTGTAATACAATTAAATAAATCCAAAAATATCATAGCATGCCCTGCAGCAGGAGTTGCCCACATGGCAGATTGCCAGCTTAATCAAAGAGGATTGTCAAGATGTGAAGAAAGAAATTCACTTTTGCAAAAAAATATTCTCTATTCTTTGCTTTTTTGTTCTATCTTTTAATCTTTATAACATTTTATGCATTAAAAACTAACAATCTGAGGATAATGTAAGAGAAAACCACAAATTCACAACTCCTGTACGTATATGTAAACAGAAAAGGTTTAAGTTTATTAGTGATTAGGATTTTGTGGGATATTACTGTGCATCTGCAGTTTTCCTCCAACATGGGAACTTTATGTACAGCCAATATTGTACTATTATTATCCACTGTGTCACACAGAGACTTCACATTATTTCGTTCGCGATCAACAGTGTTGTGTAGCAATGGAACTTCTGCTATGACCGATGGTGACATTCTTTGGTTTCTCGTAGAAATGGCTTTGCAAAACGAGCTACAGCGTCGATGTCGTATTTAAACACCTTTCTGTGCTGTGACTTCTTACTGCAGAAAAACAAAGCATGGACCTCTTTACCTCTCACGACCACATCAGTGGCAATAGATACACTGTCCACCTTGGTCTGAACAGCACAGGTGTACTTCCCAGCATGCCTCAGTTGAATATTCCGGATCATGATGTCACCAGCCGAACGCTGTCAGTGCCCAGGTAAGGAAAAAGGATGACAAAAAAGTAAGAAAGTGGAGTAGAAAAACAGTGAAATGTTGCAAAATGAACTAAAAGGACTGCAGAAACAAGAGCAATGTCACAGTGATTTCTTTTGGCATTTAATATATTACATTAAGGAAGAGAAAAGAATAACAAAAGTGCAGGGGCGCACCAAGTGGCTGAGTGAAGGTTTTTGTGGTCATTTATGAGGACAGCTTTTTGTGGGAAATTAAAAAGCTCTTCTTTCTTCTTTCAGCTACATCTCCTTTATTCCTCCTGATTCAATTGAATCTACAGAAAACCATTCAATACCAAACAAATTATTACCTTAAACATAGAGCTAATAACACATTGATGGCTTATCTATAAAAGAAAGGGACTACGAAACAAATGAGACTCGATAATTACTTTCATATATAATCAGACACATTTAATATAAAGAAAAATGTGGTAGCTGCAAGTCATTCCCTCTTTGAAACTCGCTGCCATCATTAAAATAATATAACTAGTGATGGAGCAGGTCACAGCTCTCCACTTTGGCTGACTTTATATAAAGCTTAAAAAAATAACCTCTAAGCTTGCTTATTAAATCAAGCGAGACTGTAAGAAGTCGTGCAAAATAGAGTAATGTGTGGCTTCTGAACCCAGAATAAAAAGGTAGATTGTGTTCTCCTTCCACCGCAAGTTTAGTCTGCAGGGGCAGTGCTATTGCTTTATATTAATGCTCACATGCCGTATTTGGTTGGATTATGCAGACGTACGGCAACATTCAGTTTTCTTAATATTTCCCACTCAACACTGAACTTGCTGACTGGGCGTCGTGGGGTTTGACAATGCATCTCTCAGTCAGACGTCTCACCTCCCTTTCATCTGACGTAATATAATTCATATCAGACTAAACGTAATTAGATTCTTATTTCTGCTCTAATGCATATTTCAGTTAGTTTTATACTGTTGTTCTTAAAAATGGAGCCCGAGAGCGCCATCGTGTCAATCCCAGGCGATTCAGTAAGGTGACTCTGGCAGAAAGCTCTCCAACCTGCAAGGAGCAGATCTCTATTTGTAGCTGCACAATGCTCGGGGGCATTTCTTTCTTCTCATATTGTTCAACACTTGCAGAATACAGTATATTCTCCAGCAAACTGAATTTTGGTTGTCGCAGGGTTTTGTCATTGTTTTAACAGTAAAAATGACAATAGCTAGTTGTCTATAGTTGTTCCGATTTTTAATATTTTTATTTGTATGGTGTTATGTTTACTAAAGTTATAAAATTACTACATGGCATATGTCTGTCACTCAGCACCCAGCTTCTTAAACTTGAGATTCTTTGTGTTGGCTACAGAAGGAATATTTATCTCTATTTTGCGACGGATCTCCTGACATTTACAAAAGTGTTACAAATGGTGCAAAAAGTCACCACTAGGACTCATATATTTAGGGAGATGTACTTAGATCTAACATTCAGCCCACTTACGTATAAGCCAATGACTCACCGCTGTTGGATGTTCCTTAATCTCTTTGAGTTCACAGCGGACTCTATTTATAGTGAAAGTATTGTATACGCTGCTTCAAAAGAAATACTTGAACAATTTCTCACCAAACTCAACGTGTCGCCGTGGGTTTGAAGCAAAGGAGTCAAGAAAACGGCTGAATGCAATTATGAAGCTCTCATTGTCGTTATCGTGCCGAATGCAAGAAAAACAAAGAGGTGGTAAAGAAGCAAAGACCTCATAATTGCTTTTACTAGTTAAAAGAAAAGAACATTCGCTGGAAACACAATTCTATATCCAACGTGCTTAAATACAGTCTAAGAAACAAAAATCAAGACCAGGCTACTCTTTATGCAGGTAACCCTAGTGGAGAAAAGTTGATTTTGAGGAAAAGTTCTACTGCAACTTTTAATACTAAAAAATATATATTATTCTGTGTCACTATCAGAATCACCATGCCGCAAAATATAAGAACTTGCAAGGTTTGAGAAAACAGTCGTCTGTTTTCATTCAAAGCCGACAGATCAGCGACACATCTCAGGTTGCTCATCGTGTGTTTTTTGCAAATGGGTAGTTTATTAATTGTAAACATTATCTGAATTCACCTGTGCTTTTTAAAAATAACACAAAGGGAAAACTATGGATTGGTTGTTATTCATAAGTCCATATGCAACAGTTTTACCACTGTGGCCCACTTAAGATGGGACTGGGCTGTATTTGGCCGGAAAGATTGTCAAGAGGTTAAACAACAATGTGTTTTTCTCATGAATAAATCTTATTTGGCAAACACAAGAAACTTGAGCTGGAAAAAATATTTGCAGTTCTGCCACAATGAAGAACTCCAGATTGATTTCAGTGGCTCACAGTTCTCCTGCGACATGTCACATTTCCGATGATGTTTCCTTCAACACAAGGACAATACTGCACTTACGCCACCAACTTTTTCAAAATACGCCCAGTGGCTTCCAAAGTGGATCAGCTGCTCGTTGAAGAACCAGGTAAATTTGAGGTCCAGCGAGGTGTCGTGAGAGACCTGGCACGGCAGCACGATGCTCTCCCCCACGGTCACGTCCAGATGACCCGCTGGACTGGTGATCACCGTTGCCTCTGTAAACACAGATTTCGAAATCTTTATTTTCTACACTGCTGTACGATGCCTGAACATTGAGAAATACCTGCAACAACATGCTACACTCAAAAATAAATCTTGCCCTTTGTCAAATCCTGTCCTGGATGTTAAGATAAACAAGATACATTACTTTTGAGTCCACCAGTGAGCTTATATTGCATCTCCTTTTTTTGAGTTTAATAAATAAGGATGTGACATGTACCTGAACAACAACAGAAAAAAATAAACAACTAAGAGGAAAAACTTGACCATTACGATACGATCAGATCTGAGGCTACAATTTGGAGAGGAAAATCCATCCTGGTTCATCCTCAGCGTGGTCAACGTAATCTTTGGCCATCCTGGCTTTATCTCTCATTCACCAGCAGTGTAGTACACGGAATATAGCGCAGGCTGCGAGGCCCATACACTAGTTCGCCGTGAATTATGCATGCACGTCATAAGCAACTAATGGACAGGGAAGCCAATGCAGCATGTCGGAGGGAGTGAAGGTCTATATTCAGCTCTGTCAAAACAAGGCAGCCTGTTTATCTCACACCCCCGAAGGAGAGCCGACTGGTCATGGCAGCGCATTCCAGGTGAGTCTTAGGGAAGTTTGGCACCAGATGCAACATGGGGGAGGGAGGGAGGGAGGGAGGGGTAAAACTTTCTGCCTCCGATTGCTCAGCTGTCACGCTCATCTCCCGTTCTGACTGGAGGGAAAAATCACAAATTGGCTCCCTCATTCCCTTCGGTGTATTCCGGGCATGAGTATGGTTTATATTATGTGGATAAATGCAGCATTTTAATGTTTCCAATTCTATTAGCATTGGAATTGCAGTAGTGTGTTGTGCCCTTATATATATATACATTATATATATAAGTGAAATATATATATATATATATATATATAAGTGAAATATATTATATAATTCACTTAAATTCAATTTTAAATTTAATTTTAAAGTACAAAAGATTTAATAGACATTCAATGTTAATGTTTGATTAAAAATGCTCCCTGCTTATGAAACCTAAGAAAGTCACGCCATGCTCGGTTTCATTATTATTATTATAAACGATATATATCAGAAAGTGGGGCGGTTTGATGTATAAGTGGCAGGTAAAAACTGTCCAATACTAATAATAGACACAACAATGCACAACACTGTATAAATGTACAGCAAATACGCAGTAAAGCCTCTTTAGCTAAACTGTGCTTCTATTACAAGCCAATTTGCAATTCAAAAAACTTGTGAAGAGGAATCACAAAAAAGGTGATTTTAGTAGAACGCTGCTGTTGACTCTGCTCTTTAGAAAGATCTAGAAAAGTGCGTTGCTCTGCAGAAGCATGTTATTTTAATGGATTGAAACCTTAAACAATCCGAGCATGGCTGCGAGCCACTGTGCAAAAAATATGAATTAACCATAGAGGTGTGTGTCTCGCTTCCTCCAGCCACGGCCAATCAACTAATTGGACTGTGTATCTGCCAGGTGAGACGAGGGCAGCCTTCATAGCAACACTGCTTCGCCGTGTTTGTTCATCGAGTGCGCAGTGACGGTTTGTGCCGCCTAATATTGAACGCAGCGCTCGTTGGCTGCGTCTCATCTTTGGTTCTGTGTCCCTCCAAAACACTCAGGGATGTAAATGTAAATGATCAAAGGGTAATTAATAGACGTGCAGGAGTCCTGATGTTGACTATACATTTTACAATATACCACAACCAATCCCGTTCCTAATGACATGACAAAAAGCAGAGAAGCTGTTCAATAACGTACATGTTTGGTGTTGATGTAATTGTATTGTTTTATTCATCATTTTGTTGAAATAGATAAAGATTGTTCCGCGACCCTCTAAGGATAAGCTTTATAGAAGAAGACTGACTCGATAAAAGATCTCCTGTGTAGTGTCACAAGCAGTTGTTACCAAGGCAACAGCTATTAGGGACAACATAAACAAGCAATATCCAGCTGCCATTTAAAGTAAACCAACAAGCGCTGCTATTTGAAGTCAAAATCATCATATTTTACCTTTAACTACAAGGCTACCAGCACTGCTCGCCACTCCAAACTGGTTTCTGGCGACACATGTGTAGAGTCCAGCATCCACTTTAGTAACGTTGGAAATCCGTAGGCTGCCGTTATCCAACACAGTGACTCTGTGGGTAAAGAAAAACAAGAATACATATCAGCGTAGCAGACCAACAGTGCACCGGTGTCGGGTTGATGAAGGAAGCTTGCATGCTGTTTCTTTGAAAATCTATTCTAAATGTTCTAAAGCATTAGGAGAAAGACAGTGTGGAATAGTTACACTTTTTTCAGCACTAGTTGACAAGGACAGTGCGGTTTCACTGTGTGGGAGGAATGTTTCCTTTTGAGTTCAAAGGGATGTCTTGATGAAATAACTTGTTATAAATCTACTCTACTCTTCTTTTACATGTTATTTGAAACTATTGCTTCAGCAGACATGAAAAACAATTAGAATGCAGTTCATACATTTTAACTGTTTTACTTAAAAACTCACACATTCATCTTAATACAGCTCATTTGGGTTTCCCACATATGGTGATCGTTTTGACACTTTACTCTAAATACATTGTTGATGAAGCAGGCGCAGCTTAGTACCCAATATAAAAACTCGCAGCTCAAAATTACGATTACAAACTACATTTATTTATGAATGAAAATTATTATTAATATTAATGAAGACGTTTGAAGCTGTTCATTTATGAACTGGAGAAAAAGAAAACAAGGTGCAAACAACAACATGCACAGGTACCATGATCCAACCCAAACAGTTACTGGATTTAATCCAGTAGAATCTTGCACAGCAGGAAAATTTCACCAGCAGAGCGACAAACTCGACCAACCTTGTTCTCTTGTAAGTTGAAGCACTCTTACACAATGTACCAGACTCTCATTTAATCTATTTGTGTCATCAATCATACGGCTTCTACTTCTCCAACCAACGAGGTGCTTGAGTGACGCAAAGCCAAATATAATGGATAGGTCAGCAAAAAGGCACTGCTTGAATAAAGTGCTCATACTTCCAGTCTGCCGTGTTTACATTTCATTGAAGGCTATTATTTCATCTCAGAGAAACATTTAATTTGTATAGAGTGTAAAAAAAACACATGCAAAAGGACACATTAGGAAAAATGCATGACATTATCTTTGCACGTCTTTGGCACAATTTGAGCAGAGTCAAGGATTGAACATGAAAGAAAGAAATCACTTAAGTGAAAGTAGTTTGGTGAGATCCAACCACCCACTTTATAAAAGTGAAATGAATGGCAGAGTGGTAGATAAATGGAAAAAAATGGTTTGATTTATTCTATTTACTGTATTGATAAAATAGCACTCCCTTTCGTAAGCGAAAAAAATGGAACATTAAACAGTGGAGAGTGCTCAGATTAATAGCTAAAAGGATTTATTCAAGCAACAAGTCCATCAATTCTAAACCCTTTTTCCATCCAGCAATAATCAGATATAAATAATATTAGCATGATGAAATGTATCACAAAATGATTAGTTTCGATACTTGCTCATGTTTCAATCCTTTTGTCTTCTTTGTTATCAAAGTATTTCTGCTGGTTTAGAAAACACATGTTCTTTATCTTTTGTCCTTTTTATCCTGCTTGTTGGTATCCTGGTACTTACATCTGGCTTTGTGGTGGCAGTAATAATTGTTTTTCCCCTATCTTGTTTTTTAAAGTTAACCGTCTGAAATAAATACTGACTTTATATGTTTGTCCTGATAAAGAGGTGTGATAAACGGTGAGCTGTAAATGTGCTCGGTCCACCTACATTTTTTGCAGAGGCAGGTGTCGAATTGGGGCATAACATTCAACCTGAATTGATTTTAATATATAGAAGAACGGATATACGGAAGAACTGATCATTTGATTCATTTCTTCCTTTCATTGGATTCAAACTTGCTGAAAGGAATTCGTAACAGATGATGCAAAACAGATCCACTACATACTTTCAGTTCAGGTGCAAAATCTTAAAACCTGTGAACATTAAAGGATAGAAATAGATGGACGTCAGTACAAAACTAAAGTAGCAGCAGAAGCAGTGCCTTGACGACACATTGAAGCCAATCGTTGATCATCACTGAACATCAGTCATACGTCTCTAGCGGCTATACAGAATTAGAGCAGCAGAGGCTACGGTTGATACAGAGCTCATCCTTCAGTGGTCACAATGAAGTCAGGAATGTGCCTTTCCGTGATGTTCTGAGCCTTTACCAGATCATTATCTCCCCAGAGGTGGCATGCGTGCAGCCAGTTCCCAGCAGGGATCGTGGAATATCACAGTGTTAAAAATATATTCCCCGGAGCTAACAGGGCAGCCGCTGCTTGTTGAGCTTATAATTAATTTGGCCTTGGTTTATCCAAATTATTACAAACCAGCAGTAGGCATTAAGCCTCATGTGCGGACATATTTCATGATGGGAAACAGTTGTTAGAGACTTACATTGAGATGCCACTGTTCAACAGATAAAGGATCGTTGCCATGTGATTTCTATCTTGATGAGTTATTAATAAAAAAAAGAAACTACAACTCTAAAAAAACATTTTATACATGTGGAAGGAATGAGTTAATTACTTTTTTTTGGTGGATGCAAAGCACAAAGAGCTTTACCTCTTTTACAAAGTCGAGCCACAGTATGAACTCTATCTACAGTTAATTTCTTTGGTCAGAATAGTCATTCCATCTGATCGAATTTTAGTCCGACCATCTTTTATACTGCCTGTAAATCGTTGCTGTACAGAACATGTTCCTGACCACATTGGATTCCTAAGAAATAATTAGCTCCTTGATAAATGTTTTGCCCTGCAACTCCTCACTAAAAGGTCCCGGCTCGTCTTCCTCAACTGCACTACAGTGAAATGGGGTTCAGCCGGTGTTTCAAACATAACTGGTTTGAAAGGAGAACTTGAATCCTTTTTTCTTAAAAATCCCTTAACGGCCACCCATGGACTTCCCAAACTGATCAGAAAGGACCTACATTGCCTCAAAAGCTGAAAGAATGATCTCCCCTGTGGAGCCAGGGGGGTATATTCTCCTTTGTAATGGGCTCTAAAAAAGAGTTATGCATGTTAGATGTCACAGTGATAGGACTTGCTATTAAACTGTGCATTAGCATGTCAGCCTTCCTCCAAAACCAAAGCAAAAATCAGGACAATACCAGATAAAGCTTTCAACTAGACTGTGTTGCATTTCAATGGTCAATGGTCGCCTTGGAGCAATTACGCTATTGGGGCAATTTGTGGGGTACATTAAACTCGATAAGTGTGATATAGTAAACTAGCACTTTACCTCGGTGTTAAAGTGAGTTGTTGGCTGTAATCTAAAAGTCTTCTCTGCCTCTCCACGGTGTAACAAAAAAAACTAAGAGGCCAGGCTGTCAATGAAAAAACATTATTTAAGAGGTGAGGGATTAGATAATGAAGTCTATATAATACTAGGAACGGCTTCTTTCAGTCCTGTATTGGCAGCATATCCAGAAAGCTCATGCTGTTTCAGAAGCCGGATTATAAAGTGATTCACATGATGAAGCAATACGTATTGTTTAGCGTAACACTCGTGAACTCTTAGTCCAATCTAAAGGTAATATCCCTAAGAGATATCTCCTAATTGCTGGCATCGGTTAGCGGTTAAATTAAATTAGGGTATGAGCTTTATCGTTAACCTTATAGCTCCCTCCGCAAGTGCACGGCAACGGCTTTTATGAAGCAATCTTGTTATGCATGCCAGGGACGTGGGCTGACGTATCACCGCAGCGTGATTTCATTAACTAATCAGATCCTGCTTTGTTCTTAGTTGATTTGTTCTCCCCCTGCTCCAGATCCTTGAAAACATTATCCCTGGAAGATTAGAAGGAATTACGGGCATTTTAGTTGAGCCGGTGGAAAGGATTAGTGTTGTCTCGTCATTAATAGCATTGGTAGCAGCCCCATTCCGATATGCTAACAAAAAGCTAAAAACATGCAAGCAACAAGGGAAACGGTTTGTGAGAGATGCTGCAATCATTTCAAAGTCTAACGGCTCACCCACTTCAGGGTCCGGCTGTAATGTTAAATCTCAAATGGGATGTATTCCACCTTTTATGAGCGCAATTGATTGCAATGGGGTTTCCTTTCAATACTTAAGAGGAGGATAAATCTGAAACGTGAACGCAACATTTAGCAGGCGCTCGCAGTACACAGTCTTTTAAAAAAAGGAAAACATCTCTCTGCTGTCACAAAACAGTCCCGGCCCGGTATCTTTACTAACAATAAGGCTGCACCTTTAGTTTCCAAAAAAACATGCTGCTGAAGTCCCGCTGTGTTGGTGTGATGGAGATCCAAAGGGGAACAACACACCACTAAATCAGAACTGCAACGGGCCAAATATCTCATTAAATGGTGCCATTTTAGAAACGGTGTCACAGAGGTGCACAGCCTGGGCTGTAATTGTAATTGATCGTTTGTGCATTTGAAGCTGAGCAAACACAATGTACATATTTCGATGCACTTCTACCGATGCTCAGGACTCGACAGACATGTTGTCTGAAGGTGCATTCCATCATCACCGCCTCCTCACCTGATTGCTGTCATGTGAGAAGAAAAAATACGATTCAATCATATGAATCAATCCCTGACATCCTAAAGGTGCTCTGACCAGCATTGTACCGGGACAAAAGGATTATCGCGGGTTTTTCCTCTGCAGCACACAGAGGTCTGGCTACTGCAACGACGAACCAGATTTCTAAATAAACCTGGTGTCCCCGCTGCTATCGCACAAGAACGTATGTTCATCAGCGGCCGGTCAATGATTGGTCCTTTTGGTGATTTCACCTGCTTCTTCCTCGTCTCAATGGTGGCCAGGATCAGTGTCTGCCTCGTGCTCTAATGACCCTCCAGGCCCTACATGTTGCTAATGAGCTGATGGATCAGCGCATTGATCCAAGAGTCGATGTCTACGAAGGCCCAATTACCTCGAGTAAACAGAGCCGCTACCAGCGCCGAGCGCAGCCGGGACAGAAAAGGACAATGTTGTTGAGGGAAGCAATGTAGATAGCGGGAGGAAAGTGGTGGAGTGTGGAACGTGTTATGAAATTCAAATTGCATTGTGTCACATTGTGTTTCTGTTCGTTGCCGTTTGACGGCATGAATACAAAGTGGGGAGAAAAAGAAGAAAAAAACAAGTAGATGAAATACGACTCTGCAAGTAGAGCAGACAAAACTAAACCAATGTGGTCCCACACACACTTGCACTTACTGCTCTGAACAAAGAAGTAGTACCTGTGGCTCTCTCTCAAGGATTCTTTCCCTTTCCTCCATGAAATGACACCCCGAGGAGACATCCTGGGCTTGCATTCGATCAGAACGTCGCCACCCTGTCGGGCCAGAGTTTGGGCCTTCAACAGGTTCCGGGAGAAGTCTGGAGCAATGGCTGATAAGGAAGAGACGAGATGTGAGCATAGTGAGGGAAAAAACAAAAGCTAAGGCTTTGAGTTTCCGTTCGGGGGAGACAGAGGAGCAGAGAGGCTGGAGCTGTAGACATTAGCCTGCAAGAGCTTCCTACAAAACATGCAGGTCACTCCGTCCATTAGGCAGGTCGGCGCTCACATCCCTTTTCTCTGCACACACGCATACATCAACAAAGGAGTACAAACATGGTCCATCATTTTGTTTGAGAGACAATGGTTTATTTTCAACCCCATGCATTTTCCTTAGCAGGACATTATGCATTAAGAATTTAGACGTGAGGCTTCAAGGCAGAAATGAGAGAATGTAAAATAAGAGGGAGGCTTTGTTGTTGCTCCTCAAGGCCTTAATTACTAAGGCGCCGCCGTCTGCAGCTGCTTTGTATGCGCACCGACTCAGCAGAAAGCTCTTTAAAGTGAACACAGAGCCGGGTGCCGGTGACATGGCTGAGGACCTGCCAAACGCAGCCAATACCACGGCAACGCAGAGCAGGATGCATGCGTGATCTCACACACATGCCAGTGTTTCCTCTAACAACAGACACGTCTGACTCAACTCGCCACTCTACTTGCACGGATAGTTTTTGTGTCTTCACCTTACCTGTACCTGTACTACATGGGGATGAGAATTACATTGCTTTCACAGTTGCTTGGTCTTACCTATTACGCGGAGCTCAGCGTTGGCGAAGATTCGGCCGTGCTTGTTCTCTGCCACACACTGGTACATACCGATGTCAGCCAGATTCAAGCTACTGATGGTCAGCACTCCATTATTCGCCTGAATCCTGTCCTGCTGAGGACACATGTACACACACACACACACACGCACACGCGCACGCAAAGAGGGACGCACATTTAGCTGCACAATTAAAAATGGAATCTGCTGTGCTAACCTGTCAACAAACACTAAACAGGCTTAGACAAGCTGAAGAGTCAGCAGGACCCTTGAGTGGTTGCTACCAAGTGCAGCCCAAGGTTTACATCCAATAACCACATTTACACGCACACACACACATACACACACACACACACTGCATAAATCAGTTCTATGTCTATTTGTACATCAACCAAACATGGAGCAACTAGCATTAATTTGGTGTCCACCTGGGTTCAATATTTACGACTTTTATTCTTCTAGTCTTGATTATTCGAGCCATCACCAGCTAGACGGTAAATGTGTCCGTCTGTTGCCGCGGAGGTACAGAAGATGAAAAATCCATGTGATTCTGTCACAGCAGTAATCCACATGCAGTCCTTGGATCCATTGCTATCATAAAAAAAATGATTAGTTGAGCTGAGACAGGCGTTCTATCATCTTCTATGGAAAGCGGAAGATAAAATCCTCAGACGTTGTATTCAGACCGCATGTTAACAGATTAAAGTGACCAGCTTCAGACTCCCATGAGCCATGGTGGCCATGGAAATGCTGTCTGAGAGACATCAGCGACCACTCGGGTAACTATAATTAAATAATCAAAGAGATTTCTTACTGATAAACACTTTAGACTTTTTTTCTTTTTGAAAACTTACTTTAAAAAAGTCTGTATCGGCTGGAAGGAAATCTTCTAAACACTGCAATTAGTGGTACGACATCATATACCGGGTGTAATATAAGAATGCTGGACTAAAAAACCTTCGAGGTGCATAATTAGGTGCTATACATAGACATGGTAAGCACCGCGATGCCAGCTGCATTCATTCTGAGAAATGACCTGATCTAATTCAAGCTTTAGCCACACGTTTTCTCTCATCAGGGGGGTTGGTAATTGAAACACTGCTAATTTTCTGTGGTCTTAATAGCCCCGCAGTGACTAGACGTAACCCCCCCTCGGCTTAACATAGCACTAAGACGTGATCAAACAGTGGTTGAAATCAAACCTCGGAGGAAGTAGTTAAGAATAAGCTGCAGCAAGCTGCTCGGTTTTTACTCCATCCACCAAGTCTGAAGGAGTTTTAGGTGGAAGAGGAAAAGGAATATATCCGGCAAGAGAGGGAGTTTGTTTAAAAATAAAATGCATGCACTTGATTAAAAACTGCCTACAAAAAAACTACAAATAATAATTAGACCCGAACAAAATACTTTTCTCTCCACTAGTTCTTCTGACCTTTACAAGGATTGGCACTACTTTCTGCTCCCTTTTATAGTTGTGTCAATTTAAGTGTGGCAGCACTCATTGTTCTTGCCCTTGATCTTTTCCATTGAGTGTAGCCAGACCTTTTAATGTCACTGACAAAGTAGTCCAGAGGGTCCTGCCGCCAGTCTGTGTGTGTCGCCTGGAATCATTACCGCACTGCCACTTTAAAAGACAAGGACTGTCCCTTAACATCAGTCAGAGACACTGCTGAGGATCTTCAAATAGGGACCTCTCTGAGGCCCCAAAGACACGATGGACACACGGCTGACCGGGTGCCAAAGTGATCGCCAGAGGGGTTCCTGTGTGAGCGTATATGTATGCGGTAGTTTCCAAGTGGAACACAACAAGTCCCTGGGTTTTTACTCGCTTTGTGTTCAATGGGATGATGGAGAAGAAGACAGAAAGAGACATAGTGACTTTGAATAAGTAATGGATGTTCCTTTTTAGGGCCCAGAGGAGGAGGGGGGGGGGGGTAAAAGGGATCAGTGTAAGTGCATGGCTTGTCCCACTACTCTATCCAGCACCCAGTGCCCTGTCAAACGGCCCTCACGGACCCAGTGGTGGTACTATCACAATCTCTTTATTACTGGAAAGAAATGGAGACATTCTGTCTGCTTTATGGCATCATTATAATTAATGAAATCTCTACGTTTCTCTGATACCGGCACTGTTTCAAGTTGAGCTGTGAAAAGGTAAATCATTTCTCCTTGACGTTGAGGTGGGAAAAAAAAAATTCTCAAAAACACACGCTTGTGTGAAACTGACAGACGAGCGCGTGGTAGAGGGGAAAAAACACAAGCGTGAGTGGGCCCTTGTTTCACCGGTGTGACCTTTTGAAGGGACAGTCCTCCTCTGCGCCATTTAACTCCCTTTGAGGCGGCCCAAAATGAGTTGGAGGGAGGAAAAACTGAACTTTTTCAGAAGAGAAAGAGATGGGATAAAGAGAAGGAGGACTGATCCATTCTAATGAGGAATAACAAATGGCCCCCTTGGCCTTTCTCTCTTTCTCCCTCTTTCTCTCTACATCACTGACCTTTGGGTTTAGAAATTGATTTACTGTTGCCGCTGTTGAGGGTGGCATTTTGAAAATGGTAACACCCCCACCTCATTAATATAGCCACATGTACAGAGAAAATACTACCTTGGCCAAAAGCCAAAGGAATTTTTACAATCTTATTTACAAAATCCATATTTGAGATGCGCAGGTGGAGTGAAATATAGAACCACGAATGACAGAGTTGCTGCACGTATAGAACTACTTCTGTGCCATGACGGCAAAGTGTTCTCTTCTGTACTGTGTGAATTTTGATTCAGCTCTTTGTGTTAAGTGCGGCAAATTTGAAATATTATCTCAGCTTTCAATTGAAGTAACAGAAAACTAAAAGAGGCTTCCTCCTTGAAAAACGTGTCAAATGAAGCTGCAGTGCGCTGGTTTTGGGCTTATTGCCCAATCCAAACACTGAAAATATCAGATCCACAGGAGCCGTTCATTTAAAGAAAGATGTATACTCACTATAGCAGCACAATAACAGGAAACAAGGCAAATTGCCCAATTGTGAAATGCATTTTGGATGATAAGGCATTTCACCCTCCCCAGAGAGAACAGATTTGATGACAAAATTGAGAAAAGCAGAGAGGCTGAATTGAGTGCTAAATTGTTGAGTCTCTGGATGATGACAGGCAGAAAATGGCATCAGGATTCTTTGCAAAACACATACAACCTCCCACACGCACACACACACACTTTTAATCTTAGATTTAGTCGCAAACAAACACAGCCATTTTAAAGTAGCATGATCTTGCCAAGTACACCCTTTCATTTTAGACCATAATCTGTTTTATCGAAATAAAGAATCCAGCAAACAGTAGTAAGTGAATCCACTGTCATCTTATTATTATCTTACACGTTATACTTATCTTTATCCACTCAACTGACTTGAGTCTGGGCTGTTGTCATGAAAACAAATATCAAAACAAGCATTGACAATAACAATACAATATAAGCCAGGCTCATTATATTTTAGTTTGTGTCATTAAAAGCAAAGGGAAACATCCCTCACCTCCATGGGGTCCAGAGGCTCTCCGTTCTTCATCCAGCGGTAAGAGGGTTTGGGCTTAGCGCTGGCTTTGCATTCCCACACCAGAGTGTCATCAATGGTCTTCTGAACATCTTGAGGCTTCTCAGTCAAGTTGGGCGCCGCTGTGAGGTCACATCCCACACAGTGTAAATGAACACTTTGCTACGCCGATGCTGGAGTTTTTCTGGTATGCAGCAGTTTAAGAATAAATCAATAAAGCAACCAAGCGGGCAATTAGTTCATTAACGAGACATCCAGGGCTACGAGTCATAAATCCACTTCCAATTAACCCAAAGCTCACCTTCAGTAAATATATAAATTAAAACAGCTGTATGAATGGAACATGTGGACGGATCAATAGGATAGTTGGAATCCTTCACCGTAAGGTTAAAAGCACATATAAATCTAGTGAGTTTACTGCTATTAGCCTAAATCAATGACATTGACGAAGATCTTTTAGAAGAATTTGGTCGATTGCATGTAATATATGCGATGCACACAACTGAAGGGTTGTATTGTTTTAGCAGTGCTGTAAATAACAGATTATATTCCCTTTGTGTCTTTTGAAACATCTGAAATAGATAAAATGCCTCTTTATTCATGTTCGTGGTCCTGTGGCGACAGAGTCGGATGATTTATGGCCCTTGTGAATCATACGTATAAATACAGGACGCTTTGCCAGGGTAAAGGGGAATGAGGTAGTTTAATCTGTCTGTCTGACTCCCTGGCTGTGTTGCTTTCATAATAATATAAATTATTATTATGCAAAACCATGTTTTCTTCTTATCTCTCTGCAGGTGTAAAAGAGTAAAGTTACAGCTGGAAAAGTATCTTATATTCCATGTTAGGGACTTTTTAGCAGGAAAAACACTGACCCACACTTCTGGGGGGAATCTTACTGTTCCACCCAGGATTCTAGTTTCTGACAGTTGTGTGCAAAACGTGGTCTGAAAGGGGCATTCAACACTCGGCACGTAGAAATGTGGATTTATAGAATCAATCTTAACGAAAGTAATTGCAGTTTCACTTTTCATATGGTTCCTGTTTGTATTCTGGATGGTGAACCTCAAACTTGAGCACGTTAAACACTTGGTCCAGGGCTCGTCCTGAAAGATCTTCAAGGTTTGGCAGCCATGTCTTTGTCATTTTCTTTTTTTTGTATTTGAATAAGAAAAGCTGACATAGAGGAAATGTTTGGCCGTCCGACATGAAAAGTGAGATCACATTTTGTATAAAAAAACCACATAATACGTTTGGAAATGAGCAAGCTGTACCGAATAGAAAATACATCCATATACAGAAACAAGCACTATTGTGCATGACACCCCGTTAACAATATTACAAATGAGACTGCCAGAGATAACATAATGGAAGGGAAGACATGATGCAAGCGGCTTCTATACAAAGTCAATCTGATCATGTCCAAACTCATTCAAAGGCAGTCATCTGCTAAACCATGATCTAATTTCATAAATCCCCTGGAACTACAGAAGGACAATTAAGTGGGAAATCGAAAGAGAGGCCACCCCTTATTGTTCCTGCGCCCGCATTGGTTGGGTGTCGCAAACACCGCATCCCCATATTGATTCTCCTTTTCTTCCATAGAGTTGATGGATGTCCCACAAGCTCTTGTCTATGGGAGTTTAAAATGAGATTACAGATTTTTATCACCTGGCGCCTGGCCAATCTGCGAGGCTTTGAAATAAGACAGGCCTTAAATCATACAAGGAGAAACATGACTTCCACACAAGTACAGCAAAGAAAATGTGCAAAACCAATGCAACACGGTACCAAGACAGAGATAGTGCAGGTGGTTGGAAAAGTAAATACCATTTTCAATTTTTTAAAGTCTAAAATCAGCCAGTTGTGTGACACTACACTGCTCTATTATTATTATATTTCCTTTGAAAGCAAAACGTGATTTATTCTGAGCCCACCTACAGGTACCCGGGGCATTTCATCTTACCCACAGGTGCCGCAAAAAAACTTTATACTACCGCATTATCATATCAAACGCACCCTTCTTCACAGGAAAGAAAAGTCTGGATGTGATGTTTCACTCACATCCCGACAGGGGCTTGTGAGCAGAAAATCATCAATGCAACTGCAACATAATGGAGGGAGAAATCTTAAAAGTCCTTCATTAAGAGCCTTTAAAAGCTTTCTCAGAATATGGACTGTAAGTGTGGTTTGGTGAGGGGGAAAAAAATCACCTCTCCCTGAAAGGCGGTATAAATCTGTGTGCACAACAGGCTTGTGTTTGCCACCAGCACAATAAAGAGCCTGTCAGAAATTAACTACTGGCAATAGTTTAATTTATTACCACAATCCACCACATGATGCGGTTATATATGGGTCCTAATAAAAGCTACAGATTGCATGACAACAAGAACAAGTTTTTTCTGCGACACCAAAAGCTACACTACGATTCTGCAAGATCTTCAATCACACTCAGTTGCGGTGAAATTTTGGGGGTATGAATCCATAGGTAAAAGATTGAGTAAAAGTCCATAAATGCACATGATATGTTGGGAAGAAGACGGAGAGGTTGAAGGCATAAGATATTATTTATTTCCAAGACGAGAGCTGTGAAGTAAAATCAAGCAAATCCTCCTCCTACTCACCGTAGAAAGAAAGTTTTCCTTTTGCAGAGTTTCTTCCTCTACTGTTTTCAGCCACACATTCATATACTCCCGCATCCTCCTGCTGGAAGTAAGGGATTTCTAATACTCCGCTGGCTTTATTTATGTCCACCTTCCTGCCAAAAGAGGCCCCGTCCGCTCTTCTCCAGCTGATGGTTGGCACCGGGCTAAAGGCACAGAAATGTAACACACAGCAACAGGCCACGACATTAAAAATACTGATAGAGATAGTTATCTAAAAATGTAGCCAGGCCTAATACATATATATGATACCAGTGAATACTTGTAAAGCATGTCAGACATTAACTGGTGAATTCTTTGTCTGTGTATTCTGGGTGTAAAAGCACACGAAGGAATCATTAAAATGCAAAATCTTCTGCTCTCAAAATGACTTCTGAGGGTCCTCGCACATTAGCATGCACCGTAGAATGATAAAGTAAACAACAAAAGGCTGTGGTATAATAACACACTGTGGGACATACTTTCCAAGTGCAAAGCATTCCAGTTTGACAGTTGAGCTCTTAGAAACAGGAACAACTTCAGGGAAGTGCACTTCGATCTTTGGCTCGTATTCACCCATCACACCTGCGGTTACAAATACAAACAGAAATAATGCCATGCGTGTCTAAAGAGAATCATTTCAGCTCGAGGCTTGAGAAGCTCACAAAGAAACAAAGTTTGTGTAACGTCATAACAAATACAAATTAAAACTCTTTATTTGAACACTAAGTCCAATGGATCAGGGAAGTGTATTTAATTTCCAATAGTGACATCTATTCTAATGCCATGTTCTTTGTTATTTAAGCAATAAGGTACAAGAGGCTACAAGAAGTACTTTTTCTTCAATAATGTGCAGATGTAGCCACCGAGCTAAAAACTGAAATGTCAACTAACGGTCACGCAAAATCTAATCTGTTACTTTGAGTGCGCAGTGATATGGAACGCTCAGGTCACACGTGAACTCTACATTACGCCGAATAATGAAACCCCCGTGACCCACTCTCAACCAATCAGAACGCTGGATTTCATCTACCCGTATTATAATTTTCTATAAATTCCTCCCCATTCCTATAGTGGTGGTCTACAAATCATCAAACATCCAAAAATCACAGTTACAAACCTATCTCGTTTCAACATGAAAATAATCCAATGAAGTGATGACACCTGTCCTCTTTTGCCAACTTCAAAGAAAGCTTTAAAGATGTGATCGGCTTGATTATATAACAAAGTCACTCGCCACTCTTTCGGATCCAACTAACCGAACCCCCGACATTGTTCCTTTTACTAGACAAGTTGTCCAGCAACCAGCAAAAGCAGTTGGCCAGCTGAAACTTGCCGGGCTCTTGCTAATTTAAGTAGTAGTACTGCTTCAAATCGGGAGTTTGAAACCAAAACGATGCATCGCTCTTTTTCAACTTCTCACTCAATGTTTAGCGAATGTGGCAAAACTTTCATACCATCAACCCGCAGCACCAGAGGAGTTGGTGGCCCTTGAACACTGCTTTTGGTGACCGTGTTGGTGACCACACACGTGTAGTTTCCCACATCGGAGGTTTCCACCTTGGCGATGTAGAGGTTGCCCGTCTTCTGGGACACAAAACGGCGCGTGTCCTGGATGACAAACGATGGGTACTCATTGAAGATCCATGTGAAGGTAAGTTCTGAGGAGAAAGTCAGAGGCGCAGGGCACACCTTAAAAATACACACTATTTATGCATCATATATGCCCATCTAATGATAACGTCCACCGCATCAGTAGTCAGTGCGAGTGGGTGCCCTCAAGGATAAAGCAATTAGCGGATTGGACTCAGGGGCCAAGCTTGCATGATTAAAAACACAATGTATAATTGAAGAGCAATTACTCTTACTCACTGTCAGATAAATGTCCTTAATATGATAAAAGTCTAACAGGCTCACTGTGTTGAAGTGGTGGTGCCGAGGAACTGAATAAGTATACTTATGTTAGGTTATGTGGAGTGTGTTGGTGATTTAATGACCAACACTTCTGAAGGAAATAAATGCATAAACAAAGAAAAAAACACAAGGCTGTCTTTAATAGTTGAACCTGGCTGAACTTCTGTCGTAACACAATGCAGCATGATCCAACAATTACACTATGCCACCAATTTTGAAAAAAACTTTTGGTTGCTATGATGTTTCTAGATGTAAAAGACTTAAGCAGTGTACGTTCTGGTATCTAATGACTGTGGTTGAGCAGAGCGTTATATTTGTACTCAGGAAACTTAATTAAAATGTACCTTGCTGTGAATGTATCACCATTGCGTCATTAAATAATGCCCTGTTTATTGCGTTTCATATATTTAGTTTCATCTGCTTTACTTTATTATTATCTCTTCTTGGGAATTATTACCTAATAAGAATATATTTAAAAGACAGACAGTAGTTATACATAAAAACAAGCATCTCCCTTTGTGACTATCATGTAGCATCAGAGGACCTCAAATCATCTCAGAGTCGCAGATGTTGCATGAGAAACTATACGACGCACATTAAAATCAATGTATTACAGATCACGTTATTCAGTATGGTACCAGCTGGTCCATCAATCAACATCCTTGGTAACAGACTTCTGGGAAAGACTCACTGTCAACTAAATGTAGTGCAGTTAGGGAGGCGTTGTACTGACAACAAGCTGCATTCAAAAAATAAATGATGATGTTTTGATGTACTCACACAAGGATAGATTGCTCTGGACCGCATTGTACCCCTGTCCCAAAAGCAATCTTGGCCGTTGGTAAGAACTTGTTTAAGCGATGACTCAGCACCACGGTAGAGGGAATAATTGGGACACGAGTTGGACACTCATCTACTGACTCAGTATGCTTCACTTTTGCTCTTTAGGGGGCAAGAGACTGTACGGACTTTGACAAATCAATGCTAACCGTGCAAATCACAACATGCCACAGATTTGCGTGATACAAATGGTTAAAAATTGTCCTTTTCACCAAGTAAAAAGTACACGGTGGGTGTTTTTATGTGGGTTGGGGCTGGTGGAGGTCACCTTGCGATCGTCCCATGAACACAACATGAAATTGAAACACACCGCGAAATCACATCTGTCAGTCTGTTTCGTGCCAATGTTGTTTTCTGCCTTCCAATGTTGCCTATTTTTAAATGTATTTAACCTAATTAATGAATTTGCTGCTTTGTCTCGCAGTCATCTTCATAGTCGATCTTTTACTCAAATATTGTGCAATAAAGCAAATATGAGTAGTTTGCTTTAATGAGGTGAACAGACTGATATGAGAGAGGCTTTGAAGTCCTTCCTAGCCACCGTCATTTGTATCAACCGTAACTTCTTGGTTTGAGTCGACCCAGAGCGAGAACAGCAGTAATATCCCCTCTCATAAATGATATATCCTCGCTGACCCTCATCCTCACAAGGACATGCACATCCAATGTATGTTTATGAAACAATATCTTCCAAAGGTGCAGGGCATGACAACCCCAAACAACAGCGAATAAGAGATTGCTAATTGGTTAGTTAAAGATGCATGATGTGAAACAGGAAGCAGGAAATGGGAAGTTGAAAGTACCAACGGTTGTATCGGATGATTTGACTTTGATTTGATGGGCGGTAATGGAATAATGCAATCATGACTGACAGTGACTGGCAGATTTTCATCGTGGTTCCATTTAGCCTTTGTATAATGAACAGGCAGCATCAATTCCCCCTTAATGATCGGAGAAGAGGGAAGAGAAATACAACATGACAGGCCAAGGACATACTGGGTGGGTTTTTGTTCAAGTGTGTATTGTCTCAAAAAAAAAAGAGAGTATGCACTATTTATTGGAAAGTCTTACTGGCAAGTCTGCTCCCTAGACAGCAACAACCATTAACCAGGGCTACCTATCTGTATTCATAACACAACATGTTCACTCTATAAAATGGCCTAGGTCACGCACATTGGAAAAATCCCTGCAAGCGAAGTGTGTTACCGGCCAGCGAACAGCCTCGGTTTTGAGGTACATGCTCTGCAAGTAGAGAACAAGTGATTTCAGCCTTGAGTAAATCTAAAAGGCCAGTTTCCATTAGTGAAAGGAGGTCAGATGCATTAGGTCGTGGACTAACCACTGCCATTCAGACCCTCATAGAGAGCACGCAGACTGACATCTAATGCAAATATACTACATTTCAACACTGGAGCTCCTCTTGGCATCAACAACCGCCTTACACTTTCAAAGCATCCTGGCTGCACCGGAATACTTCCCGCCGCTGCCCTGAGAGTTTTGAGGCGTCGTTAAAATGAAATAATGGCCTGCTGAATCATGCATGGGATACTGATATCTGTTAAATTTGAGATGAGGCCGATCCTTGTCAAAGACAGCACTAGACTGAACACAATTTTTTTTTCTGCGAGAATTATTTTATTTTATTGCAATTGTTTTGCAATTTGGTTACTTAGAAAAAGGATCATTGCAAGCAGTGTGCAGGGTCTCCAGAGAAGAGCTGTGATCCACAAGAAGGAACTGGGGGTGCTCTGTGTAAACAAAGGGAGTTTGTACAGTACTGGTCGGTCAGACAAAACTACAAACGCTGAATGTGTTTTTTTTGTTATCAGGAAAACAGCAGGGAGCACTGACCTAGATTTCAAGATTAGCAATTAATCAAAGAATTGTTGATACTAGTAGTGTTGATAATCTATAATATTCTTTTAAGGTTTCCTTTCCTTACAAGGATTGTGGTTTCAGAGGTCTGCAAATGTTTTAATTCACAACGCACATTTTGTAGCACAAAACCTTTCCTGTGGTAAAAGAACCAGTGCCTTGCTGTCTATTAACTGACTTTTTAATTAGACAGTATATTAAATAATATAGTATATTAAAATAAATTAATGTAAAATGTATTTCCGAAAGTCATTTAATGGTCTTTTGACACTAGCAGTTCGTGTAAATAAAACTGCCATACTGACTTTGGTAAAAAATACTAGTAAAAAGTATCACTGTGATTGTACCGTCATACAGACTGCATCTACTTCCCTGCAGTGTTTGAATTGAGGATTATTTTAAGTACTAGCGCAGGTTTGCTGGCCTTTAGCATTATTGATGGTTTCTGTTCGTTGATATTGGTTGAGTTTTCCACTACACAGTTTTGTTAGAATGTGTAAATAAGGCTTCTTCAGTCACGGTTGCTGCCTCCTGCTGCACAGCAGTGTACCAGTGTGCACTATCGCCTCACAATTAGACGCACTTGAAATTCAAACCCGCTGGTCGGCCCTGTCAGCGTGGAGTTTGCATATTCTCCCCGTGTTAGCGTAGGTTCCTCCAGGTTCTCCGGCTCGCTCCCACACTCCATCGACATGCAGGCTATGTTAATGGATGATTCCAGATTGCCCTTGGTGTGAATGTGAGCGCGATTGGTTGTCTCTACGTGTTGGATTTCATGTGTGTGTACTCTTGTCTTTGCCCAATGTCAGCTGGGATTTTACATCAGTATCGATACAGTTATTGTACCATCTTAAGAGCAAGTAAAGGCTTTGTATGCGAGTCACTGGGAGTGACGGATATGGGTCAAGTGCAATGTATCCGTGTTGGTTGATGACAACAAACCCTCCAGTATTTTAGTCCCAAACAATCAGTGTCATGTTGGAGCGAGGTCCACGGGGAGTTTTTTGGTATAAATAAAAAGTAGCCCGTTTTCAGAACAAATGACAGACAAGATGAACATGAATTATTGAAAGGAAATATTGAATGAGTCTATCAACATTTCCCCACGGAAAAAAACATCAAGACCCAGAAAACGTATGTATCTCCAATGATGTAGTCAAATTCTTACCCAAACACTCTGTGGCATACATCTACGTAAACATCTGTGGGGTTTGATGTCGTCAAATTTGCAATGAAAACAAAGCAGCAGGAGTTTTTGAGCCAAGTACAATCAGATGCTCGGGGGACCTGAATGTGAATTTGTTACATTTTTAATGCCAGTTTAAATGAAATAGTGTGTTGATAACCCTGCACAAAAGACAGAAACTCTTTGTAGTTGAAACATCTGTTAGTTAAAAGGTCAAACAATACATTTCATTGCCAATTCCATAAAAAATAAGACCTGTGCCATTGATCAACTGTGTGAAAAGAACTAACTAACATGGAGAAAATTCACATGATTAGAAGAGCTACGTTTCAAAAGTTTGACAGAGGAATGAAGCTCCCACCGAGCTACTGGTAACATGAACAAAATGAGATTATCAGTTGTACTTCTATGCTATAAAATAAAGGTGTGATTTTTACTCATCCGACACTTCAGATGCTTTCCAGGGCCGAGCCGCAGAACTCCTGAATCATTTTTGAGGTTTGGAAATGTGAGAGTCTCTTGGCCTTGTTCTTCAATTCAATGCAACATTACAGGATAAAAAATAGTGTTATACCTGACCCATATATGCAGCACATATAGGAATAGGAATAAGAAAATAACAAATGTATCTGTTGCTCATAATTTAAACAATTACCAGCAGTAGATATTGAAAAGTCCTCCTTGTACACCTGCGATTCCACTTATATTGAATTCATGTGAGTGTGTCCAAACCTTTGACTGGTACTGTATGTAATTTGGGTTGCCACTTTTTCAGACTGGTTTGTAGTACTTCCAGCCTGCTTTTGCATCTGTGCAAATTGCCCAAAACATTTTGGAACATATAATTTTTCCAAGGGAAAGTCAGTGGACGTTGAATCATTTCTGTACTCGCTGCTGAAAACAAGGAATGTCGGCCCGGGAGCGCCATACTCAATGCAGCCACGCAAAGAGAGCATCTTCCTCTTCCAAATTATGAACATTAGTCGGGTGCGTGCGGGATCGCCTTCACAACAAACAGTGAATCGAGTTTTGAAGAAAAAAAATAGATGGAATTTAGTGTATGGGACTTTGCAACGACTGAACCGGTGATGTTTCCCTACAAATAATGAACTGAGAACTGAATTTAAATTGTTTTCAGCAAAAATCTTTTCAAAGATAACCGCCGCTACTACAGCCAAACACTTCTGTCAATGCTGCGGTTTTGTTTTTAGCTGGCTGGAGTGCGTGTTGGCATTTGGAAAGCTTCCACCAGGGAAGGGCCTAACAAAAAGAAGCATTAGGCCTACGCTACAAGGCTGCCAAAGTAAGCATGTGGCTCATTGTCCCAGCTCTTCTTTGTCAACACAAGGTGAGATGTCTCATTATAACAGATACACAGAACAAAGCACTACAAGTGATGATGATAAAGACGTATAAAGGTAAAGCCCATCCTATTGTCACGAAAGCAGCAGTCGTTTTGCATGGTAGCACAAGGTGTGGATGAAGTTGTCGTAAATGACACCAACAGTAGAGTTAGAAATTACATCCAGCAGTAAAAAGCTTTAAGCAATTATTTTTCAGTTTTGTTTAAGGCAAATATTGGGCTGGGGCATACGCAAAGATCAACACCACAGCATTAACGGTGATACGTTTGAAAATCATAGAAACAAATATGTACGTGTAATGTCTACTTGAGCAGAAAATGAAGTCGCTCACCCTCTGTTTGCTGATTGTGTTAAGTTTCTATGTGTTTTTAGACACGGCTCGTCCGGCTTTGTGTGCATACGAGTGCATTTGAGTCCCATTGAAGGCCCCACCAGCTCGCTAAGTGCCACCATTCTGCACTGCACTCATATTGCGGTTACCGCCGATAACACCATCCAGATTACGGACGCATGAAAATAACTGGACAGAACTGCTGCTCATTAAGGTTGCTCAGTAGCAAAAAATGAAGCATAAAAAGTTTGACTTCCAAGCTTTATATTTAGAAAAATGAACATGTTTATAGTATAGAAATAATAGTCAGCACAGCGAAATTGAAAATATCAGTATGTTGAGTTTCAACAGTACTTAAATGTTAATATCCCATAAGAGATTGCTACGAGATATATATATATATATATATATATATATATATATATATATATATATATATATATGACTCACTACTTTTGGACTAAGCCGGTATAAAACACTATCACTAACTATCTTTAGAATTAATAGCTGAACTCAACCCACAATCTGGATTTTATAGTGGCGGAGAATTTCATTCATCCTTGCTCGCTGGTAGAATGAAGCATCTCCAGACCTCTGCGTAGGAGTTAATAGCAGTGGGCACTAACTCCCAATGTTAATGTCATGGATGCAAAGGGCTAATCTGAAGCGCCCAAAGCACCTTCAGAGAGAAGCTCCATTACTCAGCCTGGCAGGACCCCAGCAGCAGACAGCCTTTCCAGTCTGCATGCCAAAGTTTTTCCTGGCCCCATTGAAAATCAGGACTGACGGGCCGGAGAGTCCCAAAGAAAAAAGGACTCACTCCAACTGAGCCCGACAACAAACAACCAGATCTGAGAGGGAGAGCGCAAACGACTCTGACTGAGTCCTCACTGACGCTGGGTTGTTGTTGAGCACCAGGGCAAACAACTAAATGTGTAAGGCAGGAAAATGAAAATGAAATTCTTGACATGATAAACATCTTTGACATACGGTCTTACCTCCAGAGTGCTGTGGTGGGCCACACAGTAGGACCACTCCTTGACCTTCACGAACTCTCACTGGACTTCTTCTCTGCGTCTTGAAGTTCTCCAGATCTGTTAACCACGACACAAAATCAATAGAGCAAAATAATCTATTAATTCTTCTCATAAACCCATAGGCACACAATTCATTCATCCATTCATCCATCCTTATCCCGGATCGGGTCGCGGGGGCAGCAGGCTGACCCAGACTTTCCTCTCACCCGCTCATTCTGGGGGATCTCGAGACGGTCCCAGGCCAGCTGGGTGAAGATATCCCTCCAGCGTGTTCTGGCTCATCCCTCGGGTCTCCTACCCGATTTGGGCGTGCCGGGAAAACCTCCAGTGGGAGGCGGCCAGGAAGCCAAAAGCACTCACGGAATGCCAAATTGTTAAAAGTAAAAAATGCACTACAGGACACACTGCTCAAAAACTGCTTACCTGGTCAGCTCACAGCTACAGACCAACCAGTTCAACAGGGACGTATGATGGAGAACTTTGCATATTTAAATAGGAAACGCTATAAGTCTGCATAAATGCAGACAAAGTGCTGTAAAGAGCTAAACACTCCTGACTGGACCAGAGAGCAATTCCTTAAGTATAAGTTACACATGAGCGAATTTAATTGGAACTGTGAATTGTTATCACTTTCTGTGTTTCATCCACTGCACACAGACCAGTAACAATTAAATGACTGAGACTGAAACATCATTTTATGGAGACCAATTACTTGTTGACAACCGACTGAGGAAAAGCAAAGAGATACAACAATCCCTGAACAGTTTGCCTATTCTGGCCCGCTGGGGTTCTTGGAGATACGGCAAGCAGCACAGCAAAATGTGTGGCCGCCGTATAATGACATAATCAAGACGGAATTCAAAAACAGGGAGAAGGAATGCAAAGCTCACACCTCCTGTGCACAAGCACAGCAGGATGAGCCGCCGCATAATAGCTGCAGTACGTGATCTTTGTGGACCTTCTGAGTAATTGAAAGCGGCCTGCGGCAGAACAGCATGTACTTTATCGAAAAAATGGAAAGCTGCTTTTTTTGGGGGGGGAGTTCACAAATAATTCAGCAGAAGCGTTGACTTCAAAAATGAACAATTAGATCATTAAGTTCTTTTAATATTTGGTGCTGACAGATTGTGCGGAAGCTTCTGTGGCCAATTCTAAACTCGTGGCTGGGTAACGGTAGCACAAAGCCTCTCAGCGCGAGAACAGATTGAGCACAGTTAGGGTCCCTTCGGAGCAGTAACCCATCTTGACTGTAGATCCCTCTGATAAACTCCAAAGTGAAAGTGAGTGATGTATTATTTACTCATTTAATATTAATTCATTTTAAAAAATGGGAATTCAAAATTGAATGCTTTGTATGTGGGTTGTTAGTAAAAGCGAAATATCTCAGGCCTCTGCTGATTTACGTGCATTAGCGAGTTCACCAAATAAATACTTAAAAAAAAAAAAAACGTTTTAAACTCACAATAAAACACTTAAGTGAATCTCGCAAACCTCAAACTGGAATAATAAAAACCTAATAATATGCAGCCCCAAGGCCATTACTTGCAGATATTAACAACCAGCAATGGAATCCCACAGCGGCAGAAGGAACATTTTTCTTTTGAATGATTCAAACATTTAAATCTTAAATCTTATGTGACAAACCAACTGAATAAAACATTCTTGTACTTTACATCCACGCTGGCTGCTACTTGAATGCTTTGTGATGATAGTTAGAGGGTCATTGTAGTGGTGCTAACCCCCTGCCCTATAGGGGCAGGTTGAAAACTAGTGAGATGCATTCTAGTTTCAACATTATCTATTCCATTCATTCAGCAAAAGAGATCTGTAGTACTGGTTGTGCACAATTGTATAACATAATTTCAGTATAAATAGCATTCATTAAATATCATTTCAATTATTCTTTCCCATTTTAATTCATTATGAAAAAAAGTCTGAAGTCAGAAGGATCCATCCTTTGGGGAGGAGCATGAATATCTGTAAAAAAATGTAATAGCAATCCATTAAATAGTTGAAAAACCCCAAAGGAATTTTTGAATTTCTTTTAACTTCAGCTCCATTTTTCATTGGCTTGACATGTGATAACATATTAAACTCTGGTTGCTCTGGCAGGGCCACTACCTGCTGAGTCAGCCTGTGTGTCTCAGCGGATGCAGTAACACTGCCTCTGAATGGTTTGATGTCGTGAATCGTTTGGTTTTAGTTTATATTCTGCACGCTGTTATCTGAATGCTGATACAAAATTACTGTCGAATTTTGTGCCTACACTATGTGTGGTCAATTATAAATAAAATTGTTCCTTTGGCTTGTCAATGGACTTGATTAGAAATGTAAATGAATTAAATGAACAATTAAAAAAATAACAAGAAAAAGCCACAAAATTAAGTGTAAATACGTTCCCATTCCTGAACCAACTAATTATTAACCACAACGCTACTGGTAGTGGAAAAGATTGGAAACCACGTAAAATATACCTCTTTTTATTCTTTTATAGTAGACGTTTTCCAAATTTGAAAAGAAAAACAGCCTGAGATAAAACGGTGTTCTCTGATTTAACTGCTTGTACAATTACCATGCAGCACCTACTCTTATCCACTCTTTACCACTAAGTGAAAAAGCTTACATGAGCCATCTGCTGCAAACAAACATCTGTGTGCCTGTTTGTATGGTTTCTGAAGAAGGAACATTAAGTTTCAAAAGCTGTACTTAAATCAAATATATCTTACCAAAAATACAGAGAAACGGGTTCAGATATCAGGGGCCTTCGACTCACCGTGTCCATCCGAAGGCACAACACACATTACCAGATTTAAATCCTTTCTAAAAATCAGAATCCTAAGAAAATAGTTGCTAAACTCACAGTGAGAGTGAAGCTCTCCTGATCAATATTCCTTTGCAGTATGGCGGCGCGTAAATGAGCTCGACACACTAAAAGCCAACAATGCCTGACCACCCAAGCTGTTCTGCACCCCGTGGATCATCTTATCAAGCCCATCACGGCTCTGCCCCTCTATGTGCTTCTCCACGCCAGGGTTCAGGCTATTTTGAGTGCTTTCAGATCCATGAAATTGGATGTGAATTTGCATTTTTTGTGCTAGCTTCATCAACGTGAACCATTGTAATGAATGAGGGGTGATTGTAGAGAAGAAAAATTGAAGCCATTCTGTTAGAATGTGGGCTGAAGGGCAATTGTAATACGGTCAGATTTGTCACCTAACCATTGTACAAAAGGCTTAAAAAGTTTTTCTTCTTCTCTACCTCCAGTCAGAGGTTATTCCGTATTTATGATGTGAGCTGGTCAGTTTGTACAGTAACATACACAAAGCTAAATCATAGTACTGAATAACAAATCCATAGGCTTTCATCCATAGAATCAAATACGTTTATTTCAGATGTATGTATAATAGCTGGACGAGGGTGTCTCTATCACGACTGAAATAAAAGCAGATATGACTGGAATCTGGTTTTTAGTGCATTTTGTGATTCAGTAGAAATGCAACCAGCTGAGGGCTCGAGATGAAATATCAGGATATTATTAAAAAACTAATAATCTTTTTATTTTAAAGTATTGTGTTGGAAGGCCAACTTAAATTGCCGTCCTTACAGTAATGAATACAACGAAACTACATAAAACATTGGTGATGAGGGGACTCAAAAGAGCAATCTCCCTTTTCCTACCAAACCACAGGTGTTCCTTTTTCCAAGTTGAAACAGGCAAGGCTGCCTTTGAGTTGGCGCTGAGGTAGTCGCTGCGCTCAGATACCACCGACAGCAAATGGGAAAAGCCTTGGACACAACTTGAATGGGATGCCATTTGTGGATTTTTCATCAAGTTTCTGAATTTTGAATCCCTGTAAAACTGAGGATTCTGTTTTAAACTGAAGTTTAAAATAATGCTAGAGGTGTGGGCACGATGTGGTGTTCTGTCACCTGACCAACTTATTTACAGCAGCTCCCTCTTGCTTAAACCAGATTCAATGTTGGGATTTACTTACTTACTGTTTGTCGCTTTTTACAGAAAACACTTGAGCACATTGAATCACGGTTTCATTGCGTCCTTGCGTGTGTCGAGCCATTTTCCTAAGCTTGCGGGACAAATGTGTCCTTGATGAAAAGCAGCAGTGGCGATGCACGGGGCAATAAAGTCTATGATAAATAAATAAACAAATCAATAAATAGACGTGACTCTCTAGGTCGTCTTCAACAAAAACCCGTTACTCCGCCTGTTGTTCTGGCGGTGAATTGCTCTGCAACACACGCAGAACCATGAATTGAAACGAGTGCGTCGACGCAACGACGCAGGCGCAGAAGCATGCGCCGGCCTTAAGTAAAGCCGTGTAAACAAAACAACTGGGGACATGCAAGAAGTAAAAAGTCCTCTTCTTCCCTCAACTCTCCTCTGTTGTCAGAGATGCATCATGCAGTGAAAAAGTGAGTGGCACATGACATTTGAGGAGTGATAAACATCAAAGGGGCCTAATTTCTCCATAGAAATACTGTTGATGTCTCCTGACAATAACAACGCTGTTGTGAAGTGCTTCATTCAGAATATGCCCACTGCCACTCTCCCCAAAAAAGAGCATTAGAAGCCCAAATTGAGCATCTAGCATCACAGTGCAAATGTTACTGTCCCTTCCTCAGATATTCTGCAGCTCAATTGTTGCGCGAGGGAAAAGCAAGGCGCAAAGAGCACAGAGCTGAGAGAAATTGGAGTGGTAAGAAGTAAAAAAGATGATAGAAGTCTTGCAAAGTAATTACACAGATAAGGCAGTTAGGTTAGAATAGAGGCAGTAAGAAAAAATAAATGCAAGTATTGGACTGAATATGATATGTGAAATCATGAGGACCAAGATACAAGGGAGTCACATCGTGCCCGGCTTTCATAAATAGAGCTATTTCACCCTTCATTAAACACGTTGTTATCCGTGTGGCTTTATAAGCAGCACGTCATTTAGGCTGCAGATTGTTCCCTCTTCAGGTCAGGCATCCTATGCACTTTGCCTATATGGCAGGCGTTGGGATCTGTTATATAATGTTGCATCTTGTGTCAGGCAAAATCCTTACACTTACACCAAAAATACCCCTCGGGGGGATTAGGAAAATCAATCTGGCTCGATAACCAACTAGATTATTCCTTCCAGCACTTCCAGCAGGCAAGCAGAACCTTTTAAACATTTAAGTCTATATTGTCAACAGGATCCGGACCCTTTATACTTTTAGCTTTAAACTCCTACCAGATGGCAACAGGCACTGTTACATCATCCATCCTCCAGAGGATTAAACATTTAGGCTACGCACTGCACACCCATGCAATACAAATCTGGTGATGTGCAACATCATTAGTTTGTGCAAATATTACAGACGTTGATCTTGTTCATCATATCAGCAAGGACATACGTGAAGAAATGTCCAAATATAGATGACACTTTTAAAGAGGGTATAATCGTGGTGATAACGAGCATGCTGCATTCCCTGTTTATTCCCCGATGCTTTTTTGCAATAATCCTTAATAGCCTTGGCTTTAGATTATCAGACAAGATGTCCCTCTACACAGGATTGTTGAACGTTGTGTTTTCTTTATTAAGTGGCCTTTGCTTTGGACTGCGTCTCATAGAGTGAGATGTACAAGCGCCATACTGTTTGAAAGAGCGTACTCAGGACTCTGTTACGAATGACACCATACAGACTCTCATAACCGGCCGCTCCACCATAAATTATTCCCATGACCTGAAACCCGCTCAAACCATAGAGCAGACTTAATTAAGTTAAACAAGGGCAATAAATGAGATGTACGACACATCAGCAATGGTGTTTGTCCTCATCTGTTGACAAAAGCAGCGAGGCAATGGATGAGACACGACGACGCGCAGTTCAGGTGAGGCCTCGGAGATCGAAAGGAAACGTGAATATGATCAAACAGCTTCCTGGTAACTCGGGGCCCCAATTTGCACCATATATCGAAGATTTAATGCTGCTTTGTGAAAAAGAAGCACCATATCGCAGCAAGATGGACACCTCTGTGCTCTCCCTGCCAAGGATCATCTCTGCATCTGCTGTGGCAGAGAAACAGACATCGGAATTCAATCTAGCTGCACCATCTGTTCACAGATATCAGGGCTGTCATTTGATATGGGCCGCCCATCAAGAGTGGAGGCCTCAAGTTCACCTTGCCATCAGAGAGGCCTGAGACTCTTATAAAATGTGATAGATGAAGGCTGTAAAGCATCAGCTATACTGGTCTGTCAAGGCCCACCACACAATCATCACAGGGGTGTGAGGAGTTTAATAGAATAAACACCAGCAGCGGAGCTTTAATCGGGGTTAAAGAATAAAAGCATGACGGGAACATCGCCGGTAAATGTGTGTTTTCTCATCAGTAACTTTAGCAGCATCAGACTCTAGTTGTTGGTTGTTGTTATTTTTGTTAGAAAAGATCCAGTCTGACAACAAACAATATTCAAAGAATCCTACTGGGTAATTATACTTTCAGTGAATCACAACTTCTGATGTTTAATGAAACGTCTACTTTCCAAGGCAAACAAAGACTGAACTGATCCCCAAAGAGCCGTAGTTGAATTAAGTTGAACTAAACTGCACTGAAAATAACACAGATTGCACAAGACAATCAAACAAAACTATTTTTTCTTTTTGTGGTTTTAAAACCATAGACGTGCCAAACCACTTTGCAATGTGAGAAATTGCCGATGGCCTTGAGGGGCCCTTAATTAGTCTTAAGATTAATGATGAAGTGTTTTTGTTTTTAAGATTCAAGGCAAATATGATATTGTAAATATAGAATGAATATCACATATCAAAGTAAATACATACAGACAATGTGATCAACAATGACTCTTGAGGGGTTTTTCTTCACCTCGTATTGTTGTGGTGGCTTTATTTAAACGAAGGTTTCTCTTTGTGTACGTAGGACAGAGAGCACTACGGGCTGCAAATGCCAGTAATGTATCATGTCAAAGTAATAAATACAACTCAAAAGGGAAATACAGGCTGCTTTGACGTTGTGGGTGGCCTGTTGCAATTGTACCGCCAAACTCTTGGCTCTGCTTGCTGAGGGCACACACACACACTTCATATTCAGAGAGGGATCCGTGGTGACTTGGTGAGATGACGTGGACTTACATGCAATGTGCAGGCTGGCCTCCCTGCTCACGATGGTGCCAAACGAGTTCGACGCCAGGCACTGATAGATGCCAACATCCTCCTCTTTATTCAGATGGCTGATGTGTAAGTTTCCTCCCGAGAGAGAGAAACGCGACCCTGGTCGGGGCAGGATGAAGGAGCCGTTGAGCTTCCACCTGTGGATGTGAGCACGAGACAAACAACGGAAATGACTTCATACGCAGAGCAAAGATGCCGTGTAGTTCGTCTTACCTGTTGTTGCTGTTTGTTTAGGCTAAGCGATGCTGTTGCAAACAGTCCAATCAATGTAAAACTAGAGAAATCCCAGTAGCCTGAACTGTGGCAAAAAAAGCTTTATTCTAGATAGCTGACAGAAATAACGGCTCTAACGAAAACCAAATTAATATAATCCAACAAAATCTTTAAACGGGTAAGCAATAAGCAACAGTTGTCTGAAAAGACAGTTTTTGTTTCAGGCTTTTTCTCCCTTCAAACACGTCTCTCTCTCTCGCCAATCAAATGCTCTCCATTCCTTTATCTTTTCAGAATGTTTGTCCATCAATGACTCCCACATCAGTGAGGCTTTTTCCACCGTGAATCCTCCCCTCCAATCATAGTAATTATCAGACTGGGGGGCCAAGCACCAGGGGCCGGATTCATCCAACTCGGTGCGGATTAACCACTGAAACAGTGTGCACAAAAACATTGTTTTCATCAGATTCATAAAGCTGTTTCGTTCTGCATTATGAATCTCAATCATTACAGAAGCGGGTGCACTTGAACATCATTTCCATATTGATAATTTGACCTGTCGATGACAAATATGGCAAAGAAAGGAGTTTAACCGACTGTGTCGCATTGATGGGTTTCCTCAATAGCTTATTACACATCGCAGTGGCTATTTGTAGTGTTAAGCCTGCTTGTTCTTCACATTTGTGCAGAGAATCGCTGTAGTGAATCCTCATTAAATGTCTAGAATAATCATTCATTCATTATTAGCACTCATATTAAAACACAATTTACGATTTTAGGATAAAATTAACAACAACCATGATCAAGGCTCAATCAGGGAATTTGTTCAATTTGTCCAAACAACCTAAAAATGCTAGTACACGTCTCTCCAACGATATTCATCTCCTTCTTATCAAATCACCCACTCAGCTAAACCTTTCTGATGCCTAGTCTGAAGTTTCTTTTTCTTTTTTGTGCGCATTGTTATACATCTGTATAACTTCCACCAACAAAATGGCCACAGCATAATGTCGCGCTTTTTGATTCAACCAGCAAGTGTGTGAGGGAGAAAGAGAGAATAACAATCAGTTTGTAACTGTACAAGATATTTGTGAGGCCTGATTTAAGAGATTTAATGTTGGTAATTTAGCATGATTATATGTTATGGTCTCAGAAAACCCGCTGAGTTGTCGACCGATTTACCCGAATGCAGCATGTGATGCTTTTAACATCCGAATTGATTACCCGATTGTTGAAAACTTTACAACAACACAAAATAATTAAACCTGTTGTGTGTTTAACAGAAAACTTTCTAAATGTATTCAGATACATTTCATCAACTGAATAGGCTGTTGAAATTGTCCGTATTATACCCCGTGAATTCTCACTTTCAGTCTCAAACCAACTCACAGTCAATACTAATAAAGACAAAAAAGAGAAGTAAAGCAAAACAGAAGCAAAAGAAGACTCAAGAGAAAGCGTTTCATCAAAGGAAATAAGGCACACATCAAGTTGAATGTTCGCTCCTTGGTCTCGAGTAGACGTAAAATGGAGGCTTGTGGTTGCTATTTCTGACCTTCCTCCTCCTTCCTCAGCTAGAAGGATTAAGACAAAGACAGCGGCAGGCAGGGTTGACGGGAGGGAATGGAGGGACATATGCAGCAGAGCGGTGCTCAACGGCAGATTGGCTGATTAGATTGAGTTAGTGATTTGGTGTTGCAGCTGGAACTGCTCCAAGAACTCCAGATGAGACAAATCAAGGGTGCGTGGTGACAACTTGGAGTGGGGGCTTTATGTAGTAGCAGTCATTGGGTAGTATTGGGCAAATTAAATTGTCCTTTGCAACCCTGAAATAGACCTGCCTTCATACGCTGCAGTGAAGAGCCACTCAGCATGTGGTGTCCCGCTGCTGAACCTCTGAAATACCCTAAACTCATTTCCAAATTGGGCAAAAGAAACCTTTGGTTGGCAAAATCCCAGCCCTATGATGTGCTGACTGAACCAACAGAGCAATATGTCGATGTGAGTATCCGGCCCATCATTAAAAGGCATGAAAGTATGATTTCGAAACCGCTTGTGATTAATCAGAGAACTACTTCTTCAATCGCCACAGTTTGGGACACTTGCAGTAATTAAAGAGCTCATTAAAGTCAAATTTGATTTGATACAGAGTCAGACATGCTCCCAGAATTTGAAGTCAGAAGGGATAAAGAACTTGCAAATATGACCTTGTGAACCGGTTTTCATTTAAAAAAGTAGGATTATCCGGATGGTTAAATAGCGGCTGATTGCGTAATAAGTAGTCCAGTCGATCTCTGTAATAAGATCTTGAACATTTGTTTCAATTTGTGCCCATTAGGCATTACACCAAGGATGTTCAAGCTGCATTACCGGCTGCATGTGCTCATATTATGAAGGATCGTTTCAACCTATTACACATTAAATGCTTGCCTTTGCAATTTGCATTTAATTACTCTGACAGGAGTACAACAGCTATGTGGCCTCATTTGTTAGATTATAAATGAATAGCTTATGCGCTTGATACACTTTTAAGAAAATCATTGTTTGTCATTTGTTTTCATCTGGGTAGTACCAACTTGTTCCTAAAACAATTGTCGCTCAACCTCAAGCACAATGGTGCACGTGAGCCATGTGTAGTGAGAACCTCCGAACCAGATGCCCTTTGGCAATTTGGGTGCAGCCGTGGGCAGTGATGCAACAACAGCTGTCTGTAAGAGGCTGTAATATTGTGGGGCATCTTCTGCCACATCGTTTGTGGTGTGTGAAACACACTCCACTGGTCGCTTTCCTCCCCACTCGATCTCGGCTGAGTTTTGGTGCATGATTCTCTTGGGTCACTTGATCTTTTCCAACGGTCAGTGATACTGATGACAGGAAGCTCTAGAAAGGGGATTCTAAAGCGGATCAATGTCCGCCCCACCCCCCGCCAAGCCCAATATACAATAGAGCAGCAGCTGAGGCTAATCAATTTATCATTCTCAGATTAACCATGACTGACAGGGACGCCAAGTCCTGCAGGCAGCGAGCAGCAGCGAGCCATAAGGTCCACAAATCAACAGTTCTCCCACGGCAATGCATCAGATCTCCCTCATTTTTAGTCAAAATCCTGCACTTGCGTAAGAAAAGCTGTGTGCAAAAAGCAAAGGAGGGAGGGGTTACCTGTAGAAGGGTGGCGGGTGTCCCTGGGCCTCGCAGCTAAACACCACCTCTCTGCGATTCTCCCCAGGTTGAAGGGGAAACACCACACTGCCGGGTTGTTTGTTGAACACAGGCCTCAGCAAGACTTCGCTTCCTGGGTGGAGAACCACAAAAGTACCTGAGCTTTGAGGTTACGGTGAGCGTGAAAAAACATATTTCACATTTTTCTGCAGGCAAGGAGATATTGCAGGCGAAGACAGGAAGGAAACGAGTGAAAAAATAGAGCAGCAGTAGAGAAGGTTGGTTCCATGTGAGCAAAGCCTGTGAGCATTTCTCATATTAGCAGTAAAAAGCGGCGAGATCCCCCAAGAACTGCATAATCAGCTGGTAACCTTCATAAAACTTTAATGCAAACATCTGAAAGTACAGACTTGTCAAAGGCGCACTGCGCTGCCACCACGCTTCAGCACAATTTCGTTTAAACTCTTCAAACGTATCATCACCTTCCCAGGGGATGTCCTCCAACAGAAAATTTGAAATAAAATTCCGCACAATTCGCTGAGAGTAATATGGTGTCATTTGAGCCGTCCGCATGGCGCCCCGTGCCACGAGGATTGAGAAAAAAGCCAATCATTTCCAAAATTGGAAGGAAAAATACTTGAGAGGCAGGTTGTTATCCTTTCTAAAATACAAACTATTTTCGATTTTCTTTGTATTCCACTTCCTCAGAGCAAAGAACTAACAATTCTAAACTTCATCCAAACCTATTACTATATCTATGCCCACGTCACTTTCCATGACGTAGTGCATAAAATACTCTCTCTAATTTCTAAAGTGTTTTGCCTATCAATATATATCATTCTCAATATTTTGGAGTATTTACAACTATAATTGTACAGTAGATTATACAGTGCAATACAGCAGATCACAATACATTATAAGAATGTTTATGACGCATTTCAAACATGCATGTCATAGTTTGCAGTTATTCAATCAATCAACAGCGTAGCTCCTTTTGAATGACACTTACAACACAGTGTTTCTACATATATGTCATGTGTGCACAGGTTAATAGGATCTTTATTAGTCACCGTGTGGTATTATGTGGTATACTTTTCAATAATGATACATAACATTGTCTTTGTTAGAACAGAAAAATAGGCACCGCAAAGGTAGATGTGTCTAGCGTGACATTTGTTTCCTTGTTAATTACCAAGGCACAAGAGTAAAAATACGTTGTGAAAGCCGAGCCCTCGGCCACAGTGACAACTCTTCACAGCAGTAAACATTTCTTTCTGAGAGGGGAAGAGAATTAATTTGAATTTGCCAGATACATTTGCATTTCTATAATGACAAAGAAGTGGAAAGGCTCCGTAGGTGGGGCAGCTAATTTATGTAAGAGGCAGGTACCCAAGTCTCAGGTGCAATGGCAGCACAAGTTTATCGTCAGGACTCAAAATAAGTCTGTGAGAGGGTGTTTGACAAGGGACTCGGTACGCTGATTGTTCCTCTCCACAAGGATAAACCTCACAAAGTTACACGGAATGAAAGGCCAACTAATTATAATCTATGTTAGATGAAGCGTGTCCCTTGAAGCAGCTTTTCAGAGAAGATTGATTACCAGAAGACACCTCTTCCATACTCCAACACAAATCTTATGAACATTAGATGGATTGCTGTGCGCTATTACATTGATAAATGAATCCAGTTATTGAGTCACAAACATTTGCATTTTGCATCATTTTTTTTAACATGCTTGAATTCAGCTGGGAGCCTCCAAACATGATCTATCCTTTTAGTTACTAGTTAGCCCTTTAGGTCGCATCAATTCAAAGTCACAACCCCTTTTTCTTTTCTTAAGGGTTGGTGATGAAGTCGCAGCCCCGGGAATATACATATATATATATATATATATATATATATATATATATATATACATATATATATATATATATATATATATATATATATATATATATATATATATATATATATATGTATATATATAAAGAACTCAGCTCCCACTACTGGTCATGGGTCTAAGGCCATGACCAAAGGCAGTCAATGGCATTATAAAAGGTGATCTGAGAAAGCGACGGTCTGCACAACAACTCGAGGTCTGTGAGCGTGCAGCCATAACTGGCCATTCAAAATATTACGCAGCTTGCCGCAGAATAACCGAGGACAGACACAAAGGGTTGCATGCAACACCCAAAGGCATAACCTCTCCCCGGGCTGTAATACAAATGTGATCAACATGGATATTTGGTTGCATCCTAAACTCCCGGTTACGGCTGCACTGGACTGACCCGATGTTCGGTAGCACCATGGCAACGGTTAGCCTGTAATAATGGTGACTAAATATGAGAATAACGAGGAGGGATTGAGCTCCGGCAGCTGTGCCTCCAGGGGCTCAGCTCAAACTGATGCAAACTCTCTGAAACTCTTTTGTTGCGCTTCATAAGAGGCCACACAAGATGCAGTAGTAAAAAGACGACTCGTTTTACTAGCCTGCTTTCTGGTAGTCAAACACAGAGGTGTTACACACAACACCGGGCTGAGATATACAGGTCTGGGACGTTGAGGCGCGTTTCCCTTTTCACAGGAGGATCTCATTTTGGTGCCACGTTAGTTGGCTTTGCCACCGTAGGTGCCTGCTGGAAAGAAATCTGGTAAACGCCTATTGATCAAGCGAATCCAGAAATGATGTTTAGAGCAGAATATACAAAACAGATGGCCGATCCAACAGGAAAAAAAGCCCTATTAGAGAGGAATACTGATCAAGAACGCTTACAGGAAGTTGACTGCACGATACCGCAAGACAGAGATGGAAGTCATAAGGAAAGGGTCTTTAAACAAAAGTGGGCCGCCCACACGCGTATCTATCACCTGCAGCCAGACGCAGGCGTGTTTTGAAGGCTCTTCAGACAACACAAGACTCAGCATCGAAGCATAAGTGCGAGGCAGAGGGAGCTGTTTAGGAGGCTGAAATAAAAACTAATCTCAAATTCAATAGTAGCTGACAGCAAATGAATTCCTCCAGCTTACCTCAGCATGAATAAACAGGCACACGGGGAGTCGGCTGTGGGGGAGGTAAAGGGGCCGTTTGTGAGGTCCCAAATCCATTCGTTTCAGCTCAGGGTTTTATGCATCAAATAAAAAAAAAAGCCAATCTTGCTTTTTAAAGCATCTTTCCCCTCTCTGTCCAGGCCGATAAGGTGCACCTTAAAGGTCTCTCATTCAGTCAAATGTTACTCCGGAGCAAAAGCTGCGTCAGGGTTGTTTTGCGCAAAGTATGGATTTCATAACGCCGCTTCGAATATACGTGAAATATTTGTGGAATTTGTTTTTTCGTTCTTCTTCGCACTTGAACTACAGCAAAATGTAAAACCGTATGCAATGAAGCCCTTAATAATTAAACATTTTATCAGTAAAATCTGTAAAAAATGGAACATTTCTATTGGAGATGGAAACGTTTGTGTGAGAAGATATATTAAAACAAAAGAAATAGCAACGAGAAAAGAGCCCAACGAAAAGTTGTACGCCATTCTTCACTGCTGTGACTATCAGCAATAGGGTGTTGTACTGTACTGCAGACTTTTGTAAATTAAATCAATTACATTTTCAGCGACACAGTTTGTGAGGAGAGAAATGCGGCCAAACAATTCCCAAACAATATCCTACTGTGTCACCTCATTCTGGAGCTAATCAAAGCCAGCGCATCTGAAATTCAATAACACCCTCGTATCAAAGGTATTCAATGCCTGAATGTCTACATAAACCCAGAAACATATTGCTTCTTAATGCCATTTGTCATCTAATTTCAGAAATAATAATAATAATGCAACTGTTTCCTCCTTGCGATTGGTTAGAAGGTTATTTGCCACTCACCTACTGCTGTGGTCTGCACTAATGGAAACATTCATCATGCTTTGAAACTGCATGTTTTCAACCGTAGTAACTTACGAAATGCTTCATTTGACCTTTAGTGGTTCCTTTGAAAATGCTGTTGGAATTTTCAATTAATATGACAATTATTCTCCAAATTTATCAAATGTATAAAATGTTGGAAAATAGTGAAAAATGTCCATCAAGGTTTCTCGAAGGCTTTAAGTGTATTGTTTTGTCAGTCTAAAGCCTGAACCTATTCAGTTTTAATATCATGTAAAATAGAGAAAAGGAGTAAAAAAAAACATTTTGGCATTTCAATTTAGTTTAACAATAAATCAAAAGTAGTTGCCACTTTCTGTCAATCAACTGATCCATTAATCGACTAATCGTTTCCGCACAGTAAATATTTTTTATCCAATAAAACATGAATCTCATCTCAATATTCTCCATAATATCTATAATTAAGCTGCCTGAGTGAGTGAGCAAGTGATTAGGGTGGTGCTGAAACTAAATGTTTAATACTTTCAAATCTCACAACAACAGCATAATTACTGGGTGGCCTGTTGCTGCATACATCTAAGATAATACAGGTAAAATGTTCACAATGATTCTGACTTGCCTCTACAGACAATAATAAGGTCGTATGCCGGTAAAGACAGCTCACAGCACTGCCTCAGGCTATTGGGATGTATCGAACACTGTTTAAATGCACAATGCAGATGAATTATTATGGATCTATGTATAATTAACAGGCTACACGAACACATGTGGGATGTTTCTTCAACCCTAGATGAAGCAAAAGCACAGCCGACTATGGGAGGAAGATCCACTGGGGAATATTCCACATCTCTGCTGCTACAGAACTTCAAAGACGCAATAAAAGTCAATATTTTAAACTCCAGTCGTCTGAGATGCACACAGAAAGAAAGTAAGAGTAGTTCCAGGAGATTCCAATGCTGGCCAGAACCAGCCCTATTTTTAAAAAAACAGCAGGGTGGTAAAAGTCAAGTCTTGTGGGTATTTATTTAGGGTGACAATCGGGCTGTGTCATTTTAAAGGATAGGTTCACCCTCATGGAAGTCATTCCTAAAAATGTACTTGCACAACCATAAGAATAAACCTCCCTGCTGATGTAATCGTCCTCATGTTCACACTGGCTAAACTGTCTGCAAAAATGTCACCCTTTCAACGCAGAAGGCTTAATAGCAGCGGTTTTCATATGTATTTTTATTTATTTATATATTTTTAAATATTGCAGAATATTGAAAACGTAACAGGAATCCCATCTCCGCCCCGGCACAGTAACCTGAGTGACTTCCTAAGAGTTAAAGGGTGCTTGGTTATTCTGACGAAACCGCTTCTGTCAGATGGAGACTGTTGACCCGGTCCTGCTAGTGGCCTTCTGTGTGACGGTTGGCTTCATGTCTGGTTGCGTGTGTGTGTGTGTATGTGAGTGTGTGTGTGTGTGTGTGTGGTGGGGGGGGCAAACATCATCCAGCTGCACATCAACGCCTTTTCTTTTCTGCCTCGCTCTCTCTCTCTCTCTCTCTCTCCCTTTTTTACCCACACATTTACACAAACACACAAACCAGAGCACGCCCCGCCCCCCCGTCCAGACCCCCTCCGGGAGCAGTGGGGGTGGGGGCTGGTTAACTTAAGATGAACTCGCAGCGGGATTGACTTCCTCTTGGCCCCATTGCTATCCCACCAACTACAAGCACCCATCTTACTTCCTCACACAGACCCTCTTTCCCCGGCGATGCAGGTCGGAATACTAACACGCTTGTCAAGAACATAGAGGCTTTGGAGGTCTACCGTTATATTGCGGCATACTTGTCTTGCCGGCAGAGCATATGTAATGTAACCCCCTTACTGAATATTAATGCTAAGTTACTCTCTTATACCGACTGTGAGCGTGGAGCGCGAGGCACGAGGGCTGTGCAACACATTACTTTGCAGGAACCAGTTAACCTCCGCTCCTTTTGTTAAGCGCTAATTTCCATAAATAAATAGGGTTTCTGCTCCGCATGGTTTCGAGAGTACGTTCTGCAGCCGGGATTAATGGTACTAAACGCACACTTCAATCGTGTCCTTGAAGCTGTGTGTCAGAGTTAACTCCGTCAGGTGAATGGTGGGATTTTCTCTCATGTTGACGACGTTCTCTTGTCTGCGCATTCAACAGGAAGAGCCCACGCTGGACGTACTCGCAAAGCGAGGCGCAGTTTACCTGAAGAAAGGCTCGTTAGACGTCCACTGATGTGCATTGGATTTTGTGATAAGTGGTGCTAATTACCCGGTTTGGCGAATTTAGGTGCCGACGTGCTGCTGTGCGTTTGAAGAGAGACACACTTGCACAAAAGCATATTTGGCGGTTTCAAGTAAGCACACACACACACACACCGATATGCAAGCACACTAATTATTTTGAGTCCTGGCTACTAGGAGGGGCTGATGATTTGCAGCAAGGAAACATGAAAGATTATTCCTTTCTCGAGACGCGACAAAGCCCGTGTCAGACTCTTGACTGTCTACAACTGACAACTGCCGTTTGACCCCGAATCTTTTGTAAGGGAGGGAAATTAGGTCTCTCATTAAAAGCAAGATCGATGACAAGATTTCTGCACCACTGCCGGTGCAATCTCAATTAGAGTTACAATTGAGGGTCTCTTTGAAAGGAATGACTACACATTCAACTGCTAGATACCTGGCTTAATCTTCTTCCAACAGGATGCACTGCCGCTGAAAAGAAAACTAGAGACAGCTGCGAGGCAGAATTGAAGGAATGCTAATTCGCTGCTTTGAGCTGACAACAGGGTGAACCTTTCTTGCCATTTGTAGAATAGGAGGAACGTTTTGGCCGCACTTAAACCTTTTCCATTTTTAGTAGTGTATCATTTAAGCGCCGTCTATACGTAACAATTAATAACCCCGACGCTAATAACATAGAGAAGTGCACGTTTGGGAGGCTTACCTGCCAAACACTCCACCCATGACAGCAGAAGTATAAGTTTCCATAGCAACTCCATTTTAATAGTCTCAGGTCAATACAGGCTCACATCAAATCACAGGTGTGGAGAATCCTGGCTTCGTCTTTTCCAGCACGTTCACCGTTCTTCTGTTGAATGACAAGAAACGCAGGGAGAAGCCATTAGACACAGCGGTCATGAACAGCAATTTTCCACGTTTGCTACTTGAATTATATAAAACACAGGGAGAAAAAAAAAAGAAAAAGGAGAAAAGGTTTTGTTTCCGGACGTCTTTGCGAACACCCTTTAGGTCGGGGGGATTTTCAACTGCGGGTACAATCCGCATTTGTGAGAATAATCAAGCAGCCGCTCTGTCTCCCGCAAACATAAAATGATTTGTCCAAGCAAAGCACTTACAAACACACTTCCGCAGCGGCGCTTACTTAAGTGTGCTTAACGTTGCATAATGGGGATCATGTCTGCAAGAGAAACATAAAGGGATCGCTTGTACTTAAACCTGCTGAGAAAAAAAAGAAAGAAAAGAAAAGCAGGCTGGTTGTCAGACACTTCCCAGGCTTGTAATAAAGCACTGTCCTGGCTCCTCGAATCCATCTGAGCTGGAGGGATTATGTGTTTCTGACATGAAGAGATGACTGTAGGCCGGGCAAACCCATTTTCTGTCCCCCGGGAAACTCACACAATTGATTTTCTCAAGGACTAAAGTGTAATTCATCCCTGCTGAGACTGAAATGATGCCCCCGAAAAAAAAAAGTTTTGAAATGATAATGAGACGGACTGCTCCCGATAAACACTGATGTATTTATTTGTCTCAATACCCGGAGGCCCCAGACATGTTGATAGCTGTGATCCCTTCTTGGTAAAGCAGCTGATACTTTACTGACAGGCTGGTCGTGGAGTGAGACGGGATGAAGAGAGGAAATTAGCCATCGTCTTTGCTCAAGGGGACTCTGGTACGTTTAACAGACTGACGGTTTCCTCTGAATACGCACCACAGCACGCGGAAATTAAAGAGAAATAAGAAATGACTAACATACAGTATAGTCTATCAAATAAGAGACAACTGAGAGATTACACCTTCATAGTCTTCCAGTTATCTTTACGCCACTAAAAAGGTATGACAGCATACTGACGCTTATGTGAATACATCAACGGCGTTCCTGGCTCTTCTCTGCCTGCTGCTTTGCACTTAACATTGGAAGGAAACACCTTTACTCAATAAATCTCATCGTGGAGACCTCTGTTACCAACTTATCCGTCAGTTGTTAGGATGCAAATGTCTTGATTAAACACTTAAATAATAAATAACAGTGTAGCTTCAAATCCCTTCTCGTGCGCCTGGATATTTTTGGAGGGCTCCTCCTTTCAGGAAATGATTTTGAGGGATGAGCTGAATAAATTACTATGCAAAATGACTAACAGAAAAAGAAGAAAAAAAAAGGTGAGTCTGGAGATTCGGGGAAGGTTTATATTGCAGACTCACATGTTATTCAAAGGTAGGGCTGATGTTTGACTCATTCCCATCACTCTAAATTAGACAACTTTTAATTTGACCAAAGCAAGCGCTGCAGATTGCTGCTGCTCTAATTATACACATGCTGCTTCATATTTTCCAAAACTGTGAAGTAATTGTTTTGTCGTAAGCTTGTGAAGCGTGCTTTCAGCGGGACGCCTCAGTGTTGCTTGGCGGTCTAGAAATTATCTGAGGGCACTCTGATTTTAAGTAAAAATCCTTTGTTGACACATGGAGAAACCTACTTAATTCCACATCAGCAACACTGACGTTCCAGAGCCGGTTTGTACGTGATTGTTCCCGTCGGTCAACGCCAATGTCTGACGAACACAAGCGGACTCCCCCAGGACATGTGAGCCACTGAGACACGTCCTTTCTTAAAAGCAGGTATCCGTTGGCCTGGACGAGCCAGCTCTTGATCTCTATTACTCAGAAAACAACGCCTGGGACGACGGGTTGGTACGGGGATACTTCAAACGGCGCACTCGTTGGCCGGGGGAGGGCCCACGCGGCCGTATTTAGACCTTCTCTTCAGTACAAATGAATTACCACCACTTTGGCCGTAAGTGTTAGTGACAAGGCCAGTGACTTTACTTTCATCCCAAATTGATTCCTTCGTTTGTTTGCTGTATGAGATGAGAGTTAATGACCGAGACGGCGTTCAAACTTTGCCTTTCAAGATCCACTCTCTTTCATGTGGGGAAAAGTCTGCATTTGAAAAAAATGTAAAATATGATCAAGGCTGGAATGACAGTTCTTGCCTAAACATTTCCTGTCCCGATTTGCACAAATTCAGCGGCATTGAAATGTGACACCGCATTGAGGAATGCAGCCTCTCATTGTACAAAATGCATCACAATGCAATAAATGGACTTTCTTTCGGTGCAATGATTTAACCAGAGCTCGCTGCGCGACGGGCATCCTGCATACAGCATTATCCCTGTCAAGTATCTCCAACCTATCAGACTGACATTTCAGCTCAATTACTTCCATAAACTTGTAAACGTCTGGAGGAAATATGAATGTTACTCAAAAGCAGGCCAGCGCACTGGTGATTAGCGTGGGGAGATCAAAACATTTCAGGTAGAAGCAAGTCACAAAGACGAGCCGATGCATCACTTACAGATCACAGATTTCATCTCCGACTTTATGATCAGTGGGTGAAATTTCACACAAATATCATTACATAATAATGACCAAATGTCACGTTGTCATAATAACCAACATCCCTGCTAGTCCTGTACGAAGACATCAATATTACAGCACTATTTTTATGTGATGATGAATTAATAATGAAGTTATTCATCAAGGGGTCAAAATTCCATGCATTCTGTAATTTAAGTTTAAGATAAGATGCGATAATTCTTTCATTAGTCCCCCAGAGGGGAAACTCACACGGTCTACAGCAGCTCGGTTGAACTGCATGTCACCATTTTCAGAGATTTCAAAATCAAACATATATTGATTGGTCCTGCTTCATTCTGTGTGTTAACTGAACTTCATCTAAATGACATCGAATCAATGTCACGTATTTGAAACAGCACCGAGCTTGAATATCGAAAACGATTTGACTTTTCAGGAAAACGCCACTTGAGTGAAACGAATCTCCTGTGAATTTCAGTGTTGTCACGGTGACACCTCCCGTCCCTTTTGTTCTCTGGATAAGTGGTTGATTGTAGCTCAGTCAGCCGGACAAGCTGACAGTGATGTCAGCTGATTCGACCACCCTCACTATACCTGATCTCTTCGCTGCCATCAATTTTTCAGAGCTCAAAAATGTATCATTAGAGGAGTACTCGAGGTCCCTTTGGTTGAAGATTCGAGGTAAAAACTCCAACGCTAAAATACATGAGCCCCGCACACACTCACACCCACCCACCCGAGCTCTGAATCATGAATGAGACCAGACTCTCACACTCTGCAGGAACGAGACAAGACCAGGAAAAACAGCATACAATGCTGCATCTTTAACCACCTGAGCTGTGACTTCACTTGATCTGCAGGCACCAGCTCGATCAGTGTGTTCCTGCATGCGAGGCTCCACTCGCGTCCCTGCAGTCATTTAAAATGTATTTCTTGCTGGAGCTCAAGTTGAGACTCGTAGTGGTAGAGAACGTGAAATTCCTCCCTAATCCTGGACACTTTCTTCATTCACTGCACACGAGACTCAAATATTTCATTAAGCAGCCCTTAGGAGTGGTGCTGATAATAGTATTGAGTCCTAATCAAATAATTGCATTTTTTGGTTACAATTACTATCAAAATATTGAACCAAATACAACAACAACTGAAATGGGCATATTCTATTATTTTTGACAAGTGTGTGAGAGTGTGAGTGACCAAGTCTATACTGCTTTTCTTCATCAAACTGATTTGGACTTTGTGTCCACAGTATATCTGTTGAACCAAAAGCAGCTTCCTGCTGAATATTAACAAGAACTACCAGATAGTGGTTTCAAAGGCTTACTTATTCTTGTGCTCAATGTAAATATTGAACTCGCAAAACTCTGCAAAAAACCCCTAAAATTCCTTCTGCCAGCAGCTCTAATCAAGTAAACCGATGAGCTCAAAGCTTTCTCGAGGCTCGCATGCACGCCAAACCCACGCAGATCTAGCACGCCACGGGAAATCCAGTCGGCGCCAAGGCGTTCCCCTCGCCAAGATCTACCTCAAATAGTGACACAAGACAAAGAGACTAATGGAGCTTTGATCTAAGCACACGAGCCGCAGGCACGACACAACACGTGCCAGCTACTCCGCTTTCTCCGGACCACACCGGGAGGGGGGGCTCCGTCATCCCGCCCTCCCCGGCTGAGCACGGGGGAGGGGAGAGGTTCTCTCCCCGCCTGCACACGTGCGCCACGCCCAAGTTTTAATAATATGATGACCACGGTGTGATTTGTCACCTCTTTAAAGAACTGTGCACCTTGCTTCCGTTTCTGAGCATCCCTCATTCAAGTTGTGGTTAAACCTCAAGCGATGCACTCATTGTAAATACTCTAACATCTGTGGTAGATGTAATTGACCTGATGAATCACTTTGACTTTTTAATAAACTCAATATGACTGGAGTGGCCTGGATTTAAATCACTCTGATCAGGCACCTGCAGCAAACATATGGTGTATAAATCGCCTTACAATTGATGTTAGCTCTGACTGAAAGCGGTTGACAATTCCAGTACACCTGCATTTGCTAAGGTACTCATGAAGAATCCCATTAGGATTCAAGAGCCGTGCAAGTGAATAGTTCCTGCACAGGTTGACGAATCCTCCTTTGGTATGAGAAGCTTTTGTAATCCCATTACCAAGAACAATCTGAGAGGAACCAGATAACTTCTTACTTCATTCTTGCTGATAACAATGGAAGCACATAAAAACTGTGGCCCAATTCCAAACAATAGTACATTTGGTAATTTTTTAGCCGCTCCAACGCAATAAGTTAATTTCTTTTCTTTTCTAGTGAAAAAAGCAAAATACTACCTGGTGTGCATTTTAATAAAAATGAGAAATGTATATATCTGCTATCGATTAAGAGTGAAAACTTCCCAAGTAACAAGCACCAATGTTTTCTAAGTTTCCTCTCCTTCTACTTTGATGTTGTCGGTTCTTTCCCTGGAACCTTTAATGTCCATTAACACCAAATTGGAAAATTGAGAGTTTGTCTTTTGTGTTCTGTCACTTCCAAATACCAGTAAACATAACCTTACTGGAGCAGCAACAAATATACACATTTTGTCAGGAGACACAATCGTTTTTTCTGGGATTTGCATATTTCTCTTCCAGCAGAAATCAATGTTTGTTGATGGTTTTATTTTAAGCGAATACGTAAACAATGGCTTCAGATTTGTGTTGCTGCTGTATAGAATTACTTTAAAGAGGCCCGAAAAATGCTGGAAAATAGTCAGAACCTGCTTTCCCCCATCAGAATGCACATCCTTTTTTCCCGGATCAACCCTTCGTCAGCCTGCGTGTTATTTGTCTGCTTTGTATGCAGAACCGGCTCCGCACTATGAACTCCACGTTCCACCTTCCTCCTCTTTCCGAGCCGGTGACATCATTGGAAACGTGTCCAGCCATAAGCACACTTCCCCCGAGGAGACCCGTAGTAGATGTACTATTCCAACCGCTCGCGTATTAAAAGAGTGACTACACTCCAAAGCGGTGTTGCTTAAGGGAATTGAACCGCAGCTTTGGGTAGAAGCGGTTTGCAGGGCACATCCAGCCGGCATTATGTCAATGCGACACTTTGCTGATCAATCAAAGTGATGCAGACTGTAAACATTTTGGAACAGGGGGGGAGGAACTTGTCAGAAGGACCCCTACCCCCCCTCCTGAGACACCTCTAATTTGCTTAATAGCAGAATCATAATGTGCGAGGCGGCTCCCTCTCAAACATACGGACACTTGATTGCGTGAGGAGTCCCTTTCGCTCAGAGTCCCACGCTGAAGGTCTTCAGACAATCTGAACGGCAATCAGGCTCGTAGCCGGATGCAATCAAAGAAAGCAGAAGATGATGAGGGTGGACCGAGTCCAATCCTCTGTGGGTCGCCCGACAGCAAACGAGTACTGCCAGAGTTTTTAAGCTGAGAAGAAAGAATGGGCTGATTTGTGTGTTCTGCCAAAAAGAAATGCACGGTGTGAAGGATGGTCCTTGCAATTAGAGGACACAGGAAATGTTATCTCTAATGAGCTGTGTGCAAATTATACAACTCAATTGGGAATCTATGAGTCTTCTAATTGGCAGTTGGGCACATAGTATATGACCTAACATGCAATTTCACAGTCAATAGTGGGCAGCACACAAATTATACAGCATGTCCAGGATGTGTGAAGTAAAATTAAAATAATTAGCATAGTCTGGAGAAACCCAGGACACAACCGCCGGTATGTCGATTTGTCTCAGTGAATTTAGAATTTAAATACTATGTTTAAAAAATTAAAAAAACAACGTTGCTTGTTTATCTTCGATGCCAGAAGTGGAAGTTTCTGGTGAACTGGAGGGGTTCAGAGCAGCCCGATAATTGGACGCATCGAAAATGCGCAAACAGGCAAATAGTACTTTCCCAATAAAAAACACACACACACACACACACACAAATAGTTGCAGTTATTCACCTGAGTGTGCCACGTTCCGTGCGGTGTTGTCTGCTGTTCGGCCCGGCGCGGACATCCATGTTACAGCGGCTCCCGGCATAGAGTCGAGGGGCGACAGAGAACTTCGTCCCTCTCTCAAAGTGCGGATATTGCGCTCTCGAAGAAAATTGGACCCCAAAACTCTCCTCTACCAGCCCGTTCGCCCCCCGCGGAGGAGAGCTCTCCCCCCCTCCTCAAGCACCGGCGTCCTCTCTCTCTCTCTCTCTCTCTCTCTCTCTCTCTCTCTTCTTTCAACACCTCCCGCGGTGTTCTTTTAGCGTCCCGGGTAATTGCAGCTCGCTCCTCGGCTCTTCCTCCACGTCTGAACGCCGCTGAGCCGCGCGCATCCCGACACGAACGTCCGCGGTGCGAAGGGTTGTTATTTCTTTTACATTACCGAGTGTGAGTCCATTTTTTAGGGGGGTCGGTTGAGTGGAACACGGTCCAGTTGACGGCGGAGTTCAGTTCTGCGCGTCGGGCTGGTTCGCGGAGACTGCGTTTGGCTGCGCGGAGGCAGGAGCGCGTGGAGGGGAGGGGGGCGCGCGCGCGTGGGGCATCACGGGCGGGTAATCAGGGCGGCGGGTACTGCGGGTTGACAGCACGACACGCAGGCTAATGGATCTAACTGGATCTTACATAGTCTTTGTTGTTGTTGGTGTTGTTTTTTCCAAAAGATGACAAAATATAAGGATTCAATATATTTATTTTCCTTCCATTATTCTCAGAATTTTACTTGAAGTATCAAAAACAATGTTTTCAAAATGCTGCAAGTAAAAGCCCCACACTGAAAATATAACCAAGTAAAAGGTTTTGCAACCACACCCTCAGTCCACACAGTGGTTTTCACTCATGCCCACGTAGGCCTCTACCAAGTTATCAGATTTCTTATTAATACGGAGTTCCATGATGAAATGTGACCGAGCAAATTACAATTGGCAACGGTTGATGAGCCAGAGCAAGTGAAAACACTGCTGCACGTCTGAAAAGCCTTTAATCGGTATAGTAGCTGGTATAGTTGTCAAGCAAATCCCGTAGAGTTAATATGCAAAGGTACCTATAAAATGTTGCTTGTACTTATTCAGTCAGCCACCAGATATAAAGTACCATGCATGGGCAAAATTGCAAATAAAAACTAGACCTAAAACTGCAGCAGCTATGGAATCATCATCACAGAAGTAATATTACAGTAATGTAAAATCGTTGCATTTCATTATTTTTGCCCATCACAGAACTTTCTTTACATAATGGGTGAATGTTCAGGCATTTATGTGCTCTACTTCTACTCAACAGAACTGGCACCTTACAAAGTTTAAACAGTCATAACTGGTTATACAGTACCTTTGGCTCATTATCCACTGCTAATGTTGAGCATTTAATTGAATCTACCAAAGGGATGGTGATAATTACAAGAGAAATCCCTGAATGCCCCGCTGAGCCTTGGAAAGGCAAAGAAAAAAGAGAAAGCCTTTGGATTAACCAACTGAATATAAAATCAGTATAGTCACTCAAATACAAAGTTAATATTGACACATCAAAGTGCCAAGGAACACTTAAGACTATAGCCATCCTAAACACAAAGAACTGCCCCTGGGCTTGAATATTTCATGAATTCTTTAACGCTTAAGACTGGAGGGAAATTGTCTTATTATTTTACTGTGATGATTTCAACCGAGAGAAAAACGAACAGAATTTTACCTCATGCAGCTTTACTCATTTCCTGCTCGCTCGGCAGAGACTGCTCCCCTATGCGGCAACGAGCTTTTCATTGTTTTTTGGAAGATGTCATTTAAATACATGAATTACGCTTGTCCTGAGGCTGCAAATGAGATGTTGAAATGAGCAACTTATCAACACCACCAGGAGTCACAAAGAACAGCATTTCTGTCTGAGAGCAGGAGAGGGGAGATTAGTCCCTGCAGGGGTGTCACTCTGCCACAGTTACGACAAAGAGCTTCAATAATATATTGTCTTAAATCTCAAACTTGTTCCTTGACTTGTTTCATACTGTTAATGTCAAGAGCCTTTGCAGCTGACTCAAGGAAGGCTCAAGTTACTTACGTCTATATTCTAAATTAAGGGCAAACTATGAGAGAAATATCTAATTCTTAATTCATCCCTTATCTCTTAATAAGATTTTCAACTCAAAAATAGATAACTGCGTTTTATTTCAAAATAATGTGTCTTTGTTGTCATTAATAAAAGGCTTATTTGGAGCCCGAAAGCTAAAATACCCATTGACTCACTAGTTGCTCCTCCACAGTAAAGCAGCTGTATTAACGTTTTGAATCCGAGATTGCTCTCACGCTGCACAGTGAAACTGTGATACTTTTGCATTCTGAATTGTTCTTTCTGACTTTTCGATGGGAATGGTTTACTTGGTGCCTGTGAGTGGTAACCTGGACCTCGTGTTAGAGTCAAGTTTTTTGGTACAGATTGTAGCCGGGGTGTGCAACTTGAGTCAGGAAAGTATATATATATATTTTATTATTTTTCAGGGACAATGGGCACCAATCACAAAAAACACAAACTGTAAGTAAGACATTACAAGTGAGAGTTTTCATCTATTGCACCTGCCCAGATGTTTGGAGGCAGCCTAAAATGAGAAAATTTAAAATATTGTAGTGTAGAAACTAAAGCAGCGCAGACTTAACAGGCTACAACATCAGACAGAACAAACAAACTACAGTACCTGAACATTTATAACACTCAAATCAACATCACAGGGTAAAATAGCCACACTGAACATGACAAATGCACATATAGGGAAAACAGGCAGGCAGGACAGACACTACATCAATGCAGTTATGCCCCGATTGGCAACAAGCCAATCGTTAAGGGCCTGTTTGTATGCTTTGACTGAATTCTTTGTGCATATGTGTGATAGTAGAGCATTCCATGAGTGTGCTGTCTGTGCACAAAATGTAGATTTGAGAATAGATAGAATCACTAAGTGAGGGCGGGGACAAAGCTTGTTGAATTAAAAAAAACAGCCACACGTCGCAGAATTTGATGAGGTTCTCGCAAACTTAGGTGTGAAGCTTAGGCGTAAACTCAGCGAGGAAGACAAGCTGAGTAAGCCTGTGCATTTCGCAGGTTTCCGCCTCTCACGTGTCAGCTGACTGGGGGGTGGGGGGGTTCGTTTAAAACTAGCCAACGAGACGCGGGCACCGTTTCCGTAAACTAATCACGTCGGCGCTGTCAAACTTTAAAAAACGGTTCTCCTCACAGTTGCTGTCAGTTGTCATTTCAGCGTGCAGCAGATGCAACCCTCCATCTCCCCAGACACCTCCAATCAGCACAATAACCCGGCGTATCATAGGATTGCAGCAGCCGCATTCTCCACCACCGCCAGTGCCCGGACTCCAAGTGGGATATGTGCCTTATCTGATCACGGCATCCGGGCCCCTGGTTTATCCTGCGGCAGCATGGACTCCAGGCTCCAAAGACTTTCATGCTTGTTTGATGAATTAGAGTTAAATCCTGGAAGTCTCTCCCGATTGAAGTGGTGTTTATTGCGGGTATTGCAGAGATGGTTACTTTCTGGTTTTCAAGTGTTTTTAAGAGCTTGTTTATGGAGAATATATATATATATATATATATATATTTTAATGCTGTGCTGTCGGCTTGTGGCCAGCTGGTTAAGCCGTGGGTCAGATGGGCCGTCCTCCCTCTCCATGTCTTTGCGTGGCTTCATTCGGTTTTAATCAGAGGAAGGTCAGTCAGCAGCTCAGTAGCCTGCTCAGCAATGCAGACGGCTCACTGGAGCTAATCCTTGGGACAGGGGGGGTGTGGCGTGAAACCGGCGGTTGATTCCTGTGGTGAATATACTTTTATGACCTCCAGAACTCGACCCGGATGACATTAAGATTGTCTTGGCTGCAGTGGGCATGACATGCACTACTTGAGCTTTCATTTTGGCTTTTGATTGGACATATTTTATGCTTATTTATTGCTGCTGATGATAATTGAACCCTGCGGCCTGATTGGAGCAGGCTATTTCGTCGAACATGGAGTGAAACTGTGACTTGGTTTAAACTATTTATGTAAATATATAGAAGAAAAACAAAATGAGGTAGAGATTCCCCTTTTGGACAAAACCAGTGATTCCATTGATTAGTGATGTTGGATTCCTGTCTAACAAATTTGTCAAGCGCAAGAAAAAGAGATGACAAAGTCGCTGCAATGCCATGTTTTATGGCGGACATTAAAATGAATCCCTGCAATGGACTAAGGAGGAGTAGCAGTAATATGTTAACATCCACAAAAGCCATTTAATACCAAAGTAGGGCAAGCATGTCACCGAGGTGTTGGTGCTGAAATGATTTGTCAAGTAATTGATTAGTTGCTCATTCCATCTTCTGAAATGGGTTTACTCCCCTCTAGATAGCAGTTTTATAGCATTGTAAATTTGGTGCCTCTGGGTTTGGGCTGCTGGTTGCACCATATAAGTAATGTAAAGACATCATCTTGGCCCCTGGGATTTTGTTATAATCTTTTTTTCACTGTTTGTTGACATTTTATAGACTCACTTATTAGAGAATTAATCAACAATAACAATCCAGTAATCATTAGTGACAATTAAATAATTCCTGACATGGGGAATTCTCCTCTCCACAGTTTACACCCGATGTGTCCATCTTAAGGGTGTTGAGTGATAGATGTCAGGAGCTGAAGCTCACCAGACATGTGTGGTTCATAAGCTAAAGAAGCTCGATGGACGTAAGGACAAACAATCCCAGATGTTCTGTGTGTGTAGTACACTTGCGTTTGAAGCGTGGCATTTGACAGCAGCGCAGAGGGGACGACAATGTAAGAATATAAAGCAGGTAGACTTGACTACTTTTTACTTATGTTAGTTTGAAACGGTTGCAACACCGTGGCTTTGATATTGACTTGTGACCGCCGGCTCCACGGGACAAACTATCTGTGCAGCGGATATCTCAGAGAAAATCAAGAGTTTTTTTCTCTTCCCACAAGCCTTCACTTGCTGCACACTAATTACTGTCCAGCCAAAGCATTTAACCTTCAGCCAATCTGTCTTCTCACTTAGAAAAGCTGAGTTCTTCAACCATGAAATGGTGGTACTTGTCCCTCTGAAAGGAGGTTACCACGCAGACGACTTCAAGTTGAATCAATTACAGCCATCGTTGAAGTCCTCATTATTAGAACGTTATTATTTCAATCTACTTTTACAGTTAAGTGTGACAATGAATACCCAACAATTTAAAACACACTGGACACAAAACTCGTGGCCGTTATTAAAAGTAATTTGTCAAACACATCTTGATCCAAAGTACTTCTGCTGCCAGTAAATCTAATTATAAAAGTGTGGGTATGATAGTGCTTCTATACCCGGCTGTCTCAATGCAACCAGAGAGCAACGCTGAGGGGGATGAAGGAACGAAGGCAAATCACCCACTGAACGTAACATAATCAAAGCAAAACCTGCAGGAAAAAAATCCCTCTGAATAGTGATTTTTTTTCATTTACATTTTTCCCAAAA